ATATATATATATATATATATATATATATATATATATATATATATATAGAGAGAGAGAGAGATAGAATAGTTGAAACAAAGAAATAAAAAAAATCTAATTAGAAATTGTGAATTCTAGAAATCTTCTTACTGAAAACTGAATGGATTTTTGGTTTTGGAGCGCCCCCTGGTGGCTGAACTTTGTGAATAAATTGTGGATTTAATGTCTCTCTCCATTCATTAAACTAAATGTAAACTGGTTTTTGCATTTGGCAGCTTTTCTGATGGCTTGAATTCTGTGACAAGTGGCCAGTCCATCACAGATGACCATGCACAATCACTCATGGTCACAGCAGGAGGAAGCCGGAGTGACCAGAGCTCTGACACTGCTTCGAAATGTAATAGTTTAAAGTTGTGAGGGTTTCTGAATCTCATTTATCTTCTGCTCTCTAACCCAATGTTGTCACAGACTCTTGGTAACTAACCTAAATGGTGCCAACATGTATTTTCAATTAATTACTCTCTTAATCACCCCCCCATCTTGACTTTTTGAGACATGTTGCTGCCTTCACATTCAAGATGAGTTCATTTTACCATGAAAAAACAACGTGTCTCATTTTAAACATTTAATCTGTTTTTGATGCTCGGTGGTGGCAGAAGGTCGGTTTAAAGGATGTGGAAGTCTTTGCATATTGTCAGATTTAACATTTTACGTGGTATCACAGAGCTCGTGAACGTTTGGATGCTGCTGGAAAGGCTCCAGTCACAAACTGTCCAAAACTGAATGCATTTGGGAAAATGAAGGGTCATTTTACATGAATAAAGCACCATCCTGAAGACTTTCCCCTATTAATTTAGAATGATCTTGAATAACAGCTCTTAAACATCTCTGGTTTTCTGGATTTGGTTTACTTGGGTCTTTCTCTGAGTTTAATCTATTTCAAGTGTTTTTCTTGGTTAATATTTTCATTGAGCTTTATTCCTTGTATTGTCAGTTTCTGTTCCATGTACATACCCTACCAAAACCCTTAGATGTCTTGAGCTGTTTTGCTTTTGATCATTTGTGTCTTTCTTCTCTCTTCCATCTTTACCAGCCACTCACTGGCCTCCTGTTCCAACAGAGACCGAATTAAAAGTCCCCGATTTCAGTCAAACTCATGAAAAAAGAGACCACTGCATGGATTAACTGTAATCTTTTTATGACTCAATTGAAAACTTTGTTTTTTTTGTTCATCATTTATTCAACCAAGATGATGGTTCACTGCTGTCCTTCAGGTTCTGATAACTTGTTAGATTATTTTTCACCCAATATTTCTTCTGAGGTAGGTTGACCAACAGGAAAAGGTCTTCATGGAAAGGTGGCTGCCGAGGAGCCAAATCTTAAGCAAGGGATCAGGTTGAAAGGTCTGAGTTAGGCCAAATGACACATGAGACAGAGTAAAGAAAATCCATTCTGATGGAGGGATGAATCATTAATAGCTATTCCCACTGACTGCATAAAGAAATGCAAAAAAAAGCTTCTCTTAGAGTTTTCAGGCTCGCTTGAAGAATAAATGTGCACATACAAGGCATCAAGCTTGTCATAATGAACAAACTGGTTTTGCCTCATGCACTGTCTATCTTTGCTTATGTTTCAATACAGCTCCTGAAAACTTGTTTGCACAGTACTGTTTCGCTTGTGCATATTATTCCAGAGATCTTCTCCGTTTCCTGGAAAGTGGGTTGTATAATTGTAAACACTGAAATACAGTGAAGAGTGATAAAACAAAAAAAAAATTCCAGTCCGCCTATTCTGCCAGCTCAGGAAAATGGTGTCCTACTTTCCCAGCGGTCCGTGAACGCACCGGCCGTCGGTTCTCTGCGTCAGCGGCCGCTCCTGCGTCCGTTTGTTTGTTTGTCGGGTTGTGCTGGCACGTTACCGGGAGGTGCACCGACTGGCTCGGCTGGGGTCCGCTGGAAGGTTTCGGTGAGTCCACAGATTGATTCGAGCCCGGCTGGAGCTTTTTTTATCCTCCGCTGAGCTGTGAGAAAGTGTCTTAGCTCGCTAGCCTGCAAACGCATCCCCGTGTTAGACGGGCTCACAGCGGATAGCGCTGCTCCATCTCCATCTCTCTCCTTTCTCACAAGTCAGCGACCGCAGCCTCAGTATGTCAACGCGCAGACATGTTTACTGCATGTTTATTTATCGTTTATCCGTGTAGCTAATGGTTCCAATAGCCCCCCTGGTCCAGCCATAATGGGGAGGTTAGCCGTCCGTTGGGGCGCCTCAGTGGTGGCCGATAATGGAAGCAGGGGTTCCCTCTTTATCAGCACCCCCCCTCCCCCTCTCTCATCCCCCAAAAATGTGCAAATTTCTAGGTATTTAAGATCCAGAACCGAACTATATTGTCATGGAGCACTTTACTTTTAAGGCTCGTTTAGCTTTGGTTAAAGATTCACTGGGACGTTGACGCTTTGCCTTTAAATGGCAAAAGTATAACGGGAGCTAGCTGGGAGCTAGCCGGGCTAATTCAAATGCAGCCCCATTTTTTTTTTTTACGTTCGTCAGCGGACGTCGAACCGTTCGGGCTGTGAGGACTAGACTGTAGACGCCTTCGTGCATGTTTCATGCGTGCTGGTGTCAGGTGCCAGCCGTTAGCTTTCTAAGAGCGGCCGCCAGCCCCCCCCCCCCCTCAAACCCCCCCCAACCCCCCCCCCCCAGCCTCCCCCATCAGCTACCGCCAGGTTAGCTCCGATGCTAACGCTAGCAGGGACGCCAATGAAGTTGGTTCTAGATTTGATTGTAAAGGCTCATTTTACTGTGGTGTGTGTGTGTGTGTGTGTGTGTGCACTGACCGTGAATTAGAACAGATCCAGGTGAAAATATTGTCCAAACTAGACTGCTCATATCTAGACTCCATTGGTCTAGAAATAATAAAGACACTTTATATAAAAGATTTGGAGTTGTTACCTTTGGGAACGTGGGCTAAAAACAACAACAACAACAAACCCACAACCAAAGCAACCAAAGACTTGGTTGATTTCTAAACCCATGCAATTTGCAATTAATGTGCACTTCATCATTTTAGAGGCAATTAAGACTCTTTACTGAGAAAACTCTTTACGTAAAAGAGAAAAGAAAAAACACACCCGTAGCTGCTTATATTTACCACTGGATTCTTAAAGATCAGAAACCTATATGCAAAAATTATCCTGTCTGAATTAGATTACCAGGGAGGCTAAATAGCCTGAAAATGCATTTTGTTATTACAGATGACAAATAACAAACTATGATCAAGTAGAACCTGGACTGGATTATTATTTTCCAGGTAATGAATGCCCTTTCCAGCATGTGTTGAGCGTTTATTTCTGGAAAAATCCCCCAGGGTAGTGAGTTTTCTCCACCTCCCTTTAAAAGAAGCCCTCAGAAGTGGACTGGGGTGTCTAACCTCCCCGTATGGTGAGTTTGTGCTTACAAAACACAGCCCGCTCACGATGTTGGAGCCATCCGAGCATCATATCGGAGCTTCACTTTAGCCTGTTGATTTGAAACATTAAAGAAAACAATCATTATTTCTGGCCTTAGAGACTCAGGACAATGGGCGGAATTTTGTCCTTTTTAAGCTTTTGACATGGTCACTAATTTTCTGCTTGCAAACTGAGAATTTTTCCTGTCATCTGACTGTAAACAAGAGTTTTACGAAAGCCCGTTGGTCCATCCGTGGAGCTAAAACTCGAACCTAACGGCTGCTTTTGTTGCTGGCTGTTTGGGCTCCGTCGGGCTCTTCAGGTGAGCTGTGTGGAGGAGCCACACACACACACACACACACACACACACTCGAGACGGGCCTCCATCAGGCAGCTGGAGTAGCTGGATCTCGGTAATAAGTATCCCTCGAGGTGTTGGGTTACCGTGGGCTCTCCAGCGACGGTCTCCATGGAGACAGGCCATAGGGGAGAGGCGGGACCGGGGGAGAACGGTGGCTGACGGGTGCTGGACGGTAATCTGTGTGCGTGTTGTGGATACTGACAACACGGGGATAGGTCACATTTGACATCTGCCTGGTTTGTGGTCTTGTTTGATTACAGATTTGACAGATTAGTCTTTTAAAACCATGCAAAGACTTTGGTTGTAAAGTCGAAACGGATGCTAACTGGACCTCGAACCGTAATTAAATCCGGTCATTGCTAATAAAACCCTGGAGGAGGAAGTGTTTGAGCCGAGCTGCTGTCGGGGGGGCTCTTAGAGGGGCCGGACAGGACCAAGGCTCCCTGTTTTGGGCCTCATTTCAGCTCAAACATGGATCCATCTTCTCAGATCTTCATCAGAGAGATAACCCATGTCATGCTGACCCAGAGACACCCGCAGGTCACTTTCAGGAGCTAAAGCTTTCCACTGGTGACACCCGGTTTTGTGAGTCAAATCAGCCTTGTTTTTGTTCCTCAGCTACTCACATAACTCGGCCTTTGTGTACACACGGTGAGGAGGAAACACCCACTTATTACACAGACAGACAGACGCACGCTGGGCTGAGCGGGTAAGACCGGTGCTGCTCACTCATCCAAACCCCGAGACGGACACAAAGGCCGCTTAAATAAGGCCAGAAACCGATGCCGATTATAGCAAATGTGTCACGACCGACTTGTTGTTCCGTCTCTGTGTGATGTGTGTGTGTGCGTGCGTTTGGAGTTTGACCCAAAGAGTGAAACCAGAGTCCAGCCTACCTCCATAAAATGCGTAATAAAATGTCGGAAACGGAGAAAGAAGGAGGAGGGGAGGGTTTTGCGGAAAGAACTGCAGCTCTCCTGGGTGTCCGTTCTTTTCCTGTTAAGACTTCTGTTCACATTTTTGATGCCTGAAAATGCTGCAGAGCAGTGCAGCAGGAGAGAGAGCGGGACGGTGGCTAAAGGCCCTCGAATGCAGCACGGTGTGTGTGTACCGGAGGGAAAAAACGCCGCTCTAATGCCGGCCTCCAAAAAATTCAGCCATGACCAAAGAGAGGCCAGCGGCTTTCTGGCTCCTGCCTCCAGTTTGTCTTGTGTGTGTGGACGGATTAGACCTGGGGGGAAGGAGGGGGGGGCGTGTGTGTCTGCGGCCGCTCCCCCCCCCCTCCGCATCCGTAGCGTTTTCATTTTATGGCTCATAAAAAAAATTCTCCCGCTCGCAGCCACCAAAGCCCCGACTCAGCGCCTTCAGATGGAGGAGCCGGTTCTGTGGACGCTGACTCGGGAGTTTTAAGGCGGCTCCAGAAAAGCAAACGTGTGATGATAAGCAGTGGAGGATTAAAGAACCTGTCTTCTCTTTGTGTGTGTGTCTGCTTTCAGGTGAAGCGTTGCCTCCCCGGTGAGTGAGTGCAGAACTTCCTGCTTCTGGCCCTCCCATGCAGCCGGTCGGCCGGCCTCCTCCGTCCAGCCTCGCTATGGTACGGTCAGCACACTTAAGAGACGCAAACACGACGTCTGTCCTGAGGTTCTGACCAAATTCAGGGATCAAGTCACACACCTGAAGCACTGGGCAACTGTGCACACGTCTAGTTTTCTAACACCTGAGGAGAAAAGGAGGCGCTCATATAGGAGGGTCGCTTAGCTTTAATGCAAACAGATGACACAGGACAGAGCCCCCATCGGTCAGCAGCAGAATCCAGATGCAGAGAATCTCAGTTTTAAACCCACTCAAAGCTAAATGAAGATGTTTTCGGGTTGACAGAGACGAACCTGCTCGAGGTTTCTGCCTGTTAAAAGGAAGTTTTTCCTTGCCTGTGTCGCCTAGTGCTTGCTCATGGTGGGAATTGTTGGGTTTCTGTAATTATCTTCAGAGTAGGGTCTGACCTGCTCTGTTTGGAAAGCGCTGTGAGACAACTGTTGTTGTGATGTGGCGCTATAGAAATAAAACTGAATTGAAATTGAATTGAATTGAACCTGGGCCACAAAGAGTGGCCACTCAGCTCAAACGAATCAGAAAAGATACAATGCCGACAGGCTGATGTCACAAAGCTGTGCACGTAACACATCATCTACCCTGGTTAAGTGAGCAGAGGAAAAAAACTCCCCCACCGAGTGGGTTTCTGGGACCAGAGCCACCATCCAGGCCATCGATTTTGTCGATCTCTGGGTGACGGTGGCAGATGCCGTTGATCTGTGCTTTAACTTTGTCCTCAGATGACCCTCCGCTAAACCCCGACCTCCAACCCCCCCCCCCCCCCCGCTGGGGCCAAATGCCCCGGCCCCCTCGCTCTGCCAGACTAATCTGCCCCGAATTAACAGTATTTTCAGCTTTGGGCATGAATGTGGAGCCGGTAGGTTCAGAGGACGTGCACGAACGGAAACGGCTGAACCTTTGAGTGGAGCGGTTTCAACATGAGACGTTTTTTCATTTAACCTGTAGCTGTTTCCAGGAGCCTTCCAAGCACTGGGATGAATCTGAACCTGTTTCTTGTTGAATCATTCAAACAGGCACCGACTCACCGGACTGTTTTTCACCCCCCCAACAGGTTTAATCCCGCCCCGGCTTCCACTAACTGTGCAGCGTGACTAAATCTCCCTTTTTTTGTTTTTCCTATCACTAACCAAACATTTTTCCCAGCAAAGAAGAAGTGCAAATCGGCTCTGAGCCCCCCCGTCCGTTCACTGATTCTGTTTGTGGTGTGAACTGAAAGGCGGCGTTTTGCAGTGAGTTGGCAACAGGACTCACGGCTAACGGCTGTGTGTGTGTGTGTGTGTGTGTCTGTGTGTGTGTGTTTGTGTGTGTGTGCGTGTGTGTGCAGGGAGTATGATGTGTGAGAGCAGCTGCTATGGCCTGCAGCGGCGGTCAGAACAATGCTGAAACTCTGGAGGGGTTCCACGAGGTGAACTTGGCCTCGCCCACCACCCCTGACCTTCAGGTAAGTCTCTGAGGCCCGATTGGTCCAGAGGTTTTGAACGTTTTCCCACACATTCCTGGATCAGACCGAACCCCGGACCATAACTCCATTTTCTTCTTCACGTGTTTGCGTTTTTCCCCCGCAGAACCAAGCGGAGCAGCGCCCCCCCGCCCGTCAGAGCACCCCACCCACCTCGCTGTACCGTACCCACTCTCTGGGGGCGCCCCCCGCCGGCCTGCGGGCCGACCAGCTCCCCACGCAGCCCGTCTACTCCACGCCGCGGCACAGTCACAATGGAAGGTGGGCGCGGCGCCCAGAGCCCCCCTCCTCCGTGGGGCTGCCCCCGCTAACCGCTGTCTCTTGTTTTCTGGGCTCCGCGCAGCGTTCCGGGCCTGGAGGCGGAGGCCGGGGAGGGGGGCCTGCTCTCCGGGGAGGACGGCGAGGAGTGCAGCGCCCTGAGCGACAGCCTGTCGCGGCTGCGCAGCCCCTCGGTGATGGAGGTCCGGGAGAAGGGCTACGAGAGGCTGAAGGAGGAGCTGGCCAAGGCTCAGAGGGTAAAAACACAAACTCAGAGCTAAACAAATCTCTGTCTCCTCACTTTTGCTCTGATTAGTCCTCACAACACGATCTGTTCCCATAACATGTTTTAGCTAGTCGAAAAAATGAGTGTGTGCAGCTCGACTGTGTGCTTACACTGACATGAAATACGTTTCCATGTTTTATTTAAGCCCAACTTTTGATTTTTTTCCCAGTTTTTTTTCCCATTTGAGAAGAAAGCGAGTCATCACACCCTGGAGAGTTTTCCTCACCTCATCGTCTTTTGTTGTTGCCATGCAGTGGTTTATTTTATCCATTTGTTCATCTTTGCGTTTATTTTTCTGTTATGTTGTTTTGTGCGTCGTGTGTGTGTGTGCGCGTGCGTGCGTGTGGAAGGAGCTGCTTTTGAAGGATGAGGAGTGTGAAAGGTTGTCTAAAGTCAGGGACCAGCTCGGCCAGGAGCTGGAGGAGCTCACCGCCAGCCTCTTCCAGGTCGGTCCGCCTCCCCTCCCTCCGTCCTCTAGCCTCCTCCGCTTCCTGCTTCCTGTTTTCCTTCCACTGTGGCCAGACTGACAATTTCTGGCTCTCGGTTCTTTGGCAGCAAAGTGCCGGCCCGCTTTGAGCTTGGGTTCAAGATTTCGGTTCTGGATCTCATCGCGCTGACGTATTGCTGCCACACTTAAGAGAACTTTGTTCTTCGTCCTGGAGCAAATGTGGCACCTGTCAGAATCTACATAGATGATCTGATGTTTTATGAGAAATTCTAATCCTGGCCAAAAGATGTTTTCAGCAAATGCAGGACTAATTAGTACGACTTCATACCCACAGACAAACAGATCTGCCCATAGCTGGGGAAAAATCATGATTGTGAAGGTTAAAGATTAGAGCAAAATCTGTCTTGGTTTGATTAAAAAAAAACACAAAAAACACTCTTTATCAGATGATGGATTGAAAGAAAGATTAGATTACAGATGGAGTCCATTAAGTTCAAAGGAATTACTTTTGGGGATCTCTTAATACCATTCTTTCCCCCTTCCTGTTGAGTCTGACGTTTCAGAACAAATTTAAGTCTTCAGGCTAATTTTTGTAGTTTTTTTTTTAGAAGATTAAGACCCATACCCAGTTCCTCCCCCTGGAAGGAGCTTTCAGTAGACTAGTCGATGGTTTAGCCCCCCAAACACTGCCCGTTTGCCATTAAAAGGCTGGACGACACTGACACGCTGCCCCCTAAAGAAAAAAGGTGCACATCTCTAAGTTTTGGACGTGGAATAAAGTCAGATTTCTGAGTCAGATTTGTCTTAAAATCAGACAATTTTGAGAAGCTTAACTAATGTCTTCTGAGTTCCAATCCAGACTGAATCTGGCTGGCTTTCCTCCAAAACACACCGTTCCTTCTCCCTGTTCTTGTTGCACTCTTGTCATCTTTCCTCACAGAAGGTGTTGGGACTTTGTGTGTGTGTGTGTCTCTGTGTGATTTGTTTAACCAAATGAAAGGCTTCTTTTAGACGTCTTGTGGTGGTAGTCGTACGGGGCTGTAGGATGGTTCAGAGTGTAAAATAATCCTTTTTATGTTTGTCGTGTTAGCATAGAAGCCTTTTTGTCCTAATCCAAAACCAAGCCTCAACACCCCCCCCCCCCCCCCCAGTCCAATGAGCCAACTTGCGCTTGTGTTTTCTAGGAGGCCCACAAGATGGTGAGAGAAGCTAACGTCAAACAGGCAAACGCTGAGAAACAGCTGAAAGAAGCTTTGGGCAAGGTGATGATGCTAAACACACTCACTCTCTCACACATACACACACACACACACACACACACACACTCACTCGTATAACCCAGAAGTTGCATCTAACAGTTCATTAAGAGCATAAACCCTATTTATTTTAGCCGTCCTTCGTGTGTCACTAGTCACTTGTTGAACCCCGAGTCGTTCATTGATCATAGATCTGTAAACACTATGAACTTCACACACTTCTCCGGAAATCTAACAGGAACAGAAGATGTCTTTAATAGCTACACTCAGCTCCCTTCCGCCTGGCTTTGAACATTTCAGTTTGTGGATGAAGCAGGGGTTCCAGTTAACTGTCCAAATGACCCATCCAGTGCATGTTTTTCCTCTCTTGGATTGAAGAAGAAGAGAAAAAGATAACTGCTGACTGTAGAAACAATGATGCTGACAGAAAACACTCAAAACACAGTCACAATCATTTCATTTGGAGCTCTGTTTTTTTGTGTTTTTTCATATTTTAACACTGCAAAGTCTCTGATAAGTCCAGAGGCAATCGCTTGGAGCCAGTTAACAGCCACTAGGGTTCTCCCACATAGTTCAAAAAGCAGATGGGGCTCCACTGGGGGGGTCGGAGGTGCATCCTTATGCTTTCCTCAGAGGGTTTCAGGGTAAAGTGCCTACAAATTAGCTGAAAGTGGAAATATATGTGTGATTTAATCTCCGATGACATTCGCCATAGCAACAGCTAGACTGGACTTTGTGGTTATGTCTCCTCTTTATCTCCTCCTCTTGCACAAATCTGTCCACACACTCTGTTAAAGTGAGTCTAAATGTTGTATGAGACATCAGGTCTACAAAAAAAAAGATCAAAAAGTCGGTAGGAGAACATCCCTCAGAAGATTTTTGGTCTTTTTAAAAAAAAAAAAAAAAAGGTTTTAACCGGGTAGGTTCTTGGCGAGGTGCTCATGACCTCTGACCCCGGCGTGTCCCCTCCCCCTCCCTCCGCCCTCAGATCGACGTCCTGCAGGCCGAGGTCCAGGCTCTGAAGACGCTGGTGCTGTCCTCCCCCACCTCCCCCGTGGGCGAGCTCCCCTCGTCGGGGGGGGCGAAGACCCCCTTCCGGAAGGGCCACAGCCGCAACAAGAGCACCTCCTCGGCCGTGATGGGCACGCAGCCCGACCCCTCGGCCACGCAGCCCATCGTCCGGGAGTGCCGGGAGGTGGGGTCAGCAGATAAAAGCAGGGAGGGGGGGGGTGGTCATTCAGAAGCCAGGCGTCTCAGTGAGGGGGTCCGTCTATGCCCGCTGCAGGTGGACAGCCATCTGTTCGGAGAGTTCCGGGCCTGGAGGGAGGAGCCCACGCTGGACCGGAGCTGCTGCTTCCTGGAGAGGGTTTACCGCGAGGACATCTACCCCTGCCTCACCTTCAGCAAGAACGAGGTACGCGAGCGCACACACACACACACACACACACACTAAAAGGGGCCCCGGAGCTCACGGCTCAGGGACCCAAGGGGGTTAAAGACCGAGGATTTCCACTTTTTTCCAGATGTTTATAAAAAGCTAGAGGGTGAAGATTTGTTCTACTTTCATTCATACCCGCTGCTATTGCTAAACAGGTTGCACAGTCTCTGGTCCTGAGTTATCTGGAGTACTGCCCGGTAATATGGTCATCTGCTTCACAGAGTGAGCTTCACAAGCTTCAGCTGGCCCAAAACAGGGCGGCTAGAGGGGTCCTTCAGTGCTCACAGAGAACAAATGTGGCTTCAATGCTTAGACGGCTTTCATGGTTAACAGTAACTTATAAACTTAAATTAAGACTTCTCTTATTTATATGGAATGTTTTCTTTAAAAAACAGCCCTCATTTTTTGCTGAACACTTAGTCCTTGTTGAAAAAAAAATTACTTAACAAGGCGGGCACGAGGTGGAGACTTTAAACTCCCTCGACCCAGAACAAACTCTCTAAAAATCCACAGTCCATTATAGAGCCATATTTCACTGGAACCAACTGCCAATAACCACACAAAGAGTTCAGAACAGAACAAGCTTCAAAAATATTGTGTCTTCAGAACTACTGCAAATGATAACATGAACTGACCTGTGTATATATGTTGTATAGTTCTACTCTTGTTTATGTTTTTATTATTTCCTACTGTGATTTTTATTTTTATTTTTTATGATCTGTTTATAATGTAATATAATTTCTTCATGTGAGGACCCCAGGAAGACTAGTGGCCATTTATTTGGCAGCAAATCGGGATCCTAATAAAACTAAACTAAACTAAACACACAACTTTAAAAAAAAGAAATGGTGTTATGAGGTGGAAGGAGGAGGAGTTTAAATGTCTCCCGCCTGTGTCCCTCAGTTGGGGTCGGCCATCTTGGAGGCCGTGGAGCAGAACACCCTCAGCGTGGAGCCGGTGGGGTTCCAGCCCCTGCCCGTGGTCAAAGCCTCAGCAGTGGAGTGCGGAGGACCAAAGTGAGAGCCCCCCCTTGCACACACACACACACACACACACACACCTACACACTCTCTCCCCCCTTCATCAAGCTTTTACTCCTTCATCGTCACATTTCCATCTTCCCTCAATCTCTTCCTCTAGTGGGCGAAGGGCTGAGCTCGTCACGTAAGTCCGACACACTCACACCAGCGTTTGTGATCTCCCCTCAGTTGCCCCTTGCCCCCCCCCCCCACTCCCCCCCTCTCCCCCCTCTGCCCGCCTGACTCCTCCTGCTAACTCACGAGGCTCCTTAGTTCCTCCTTCCTGCTGTCCAGGTTTAGGAGACCGCCCTCTATAGACGTTCCACCTTTCCTTCTTTCCTCGCTTCCTCGACTCTTTAGCCTAGTTTTTTTTTTTTTTCTGGCAGGTTGACAAATTCAGTCCTCCGGGCCACACGGAGGAAACATTAATGATTTGAATTTGATCTTCTTTGGTAGAAAATGCGCCCTGAGCGGTCAGACCAAAACCTGTAAGCACAGAATCAAGTTCGGGGATTCCTCCAACTATTACTACGTGTCTCCCTTCTGTAGATATAGAGTAAGTACAAACACACACATACACACAAATCATTAATTTTCCAACTTCAAAATGCTAAATCAAGAAATGTTTTTTTGTTTAACCTATTTTTTTCTCCTAAGTGGCCCCGGAACAGGTCTGTATTTCAGCTGGAGTCTGTAATGGAGTTCCATTAAGGAGTCAATCACAGACTAATTGACTTTAGGCCTTCTGTCAGCAGTTGTTTGCAGCACAACTTGTGACTGATTCACAAAACAGGATTTGAATGCTTAATGCAACTTTTATGGGTGCTATTTCTTCACATTAAGAGCAATAATTCCGCCCCACACCGTGTAATGAGTGTGAACGGCAATAATAGATGAAGGATGAAACCACTAACCTACAGCGAGCGAGGAACGCCGGGGTGCACGTCATCTGGTCTGCGGACCTCCTGGAAATCACTGGTTTGATTCCTCTGATGTGAATCTTTTCGTCTCCGGTTAAATAACTTTAACATTCTAAAAAAGATTAAAAAATAAACCCAGTTTCCCTGCTGGCATTTCTATAAAATAATTGAGCTGGACAGAGTGAAAAACATCCAATTGAAACTATTGATTTGTGTCTTTTTGGGTTAAACAGCCCTCTCTGTTGTTTGTTTTTAGATCACAGCCGTGTGTAATTTCTTCACCTACATTCGATACATCCATCAAGGGCTGGTCAAACAGCAGGACGGTAAGTAGCACAGCTCCTCACAGCCTGAGTGGACGCTGAGCAGGTCAGGGAACCCAGGCCCTTTCTGTCCACCTCATGGAATTACCTCAGAACTCCTGATGTCATTGTGTAAAATGGCTTCTTAAGGGATGTTGGACCCAGACTCAGTGTGACGATGTGGGGTTTTTGGGGAGTGTGACGAGCTCTCGTTTTCCTCTTGCAGCCGAGCAGATGTTCTGGGAGGTGATGCAGCTCCGGAGGGAAATGTCCTTCGCCAAGCTGGGCTACTACAAAGACCAGCTGTGACCGGAGGGACGGACGACCCGCCAATCACAGAAGACCGATCCCGAGCCCCACCCCATCCCGGTTTTCCCTCACCAGTCGTTTCTGGACCCTCCCGGCTCCTCTCCCCTCCCCGTGTGAGTGTCTGTGAGTGCGGGGGAACTAAAGGCGGCTTTTCAATCATCACAAACGGCTGGAAGACTGGAGTTACTAATCTGAACTCGGTTTATTTTCTTTACTGAAACATGTGACACTCCACTATATGAAAAGAGAACTACTTATTATTCCCCCTTTAAAAACAAACAAGAACAACAGAAAGATCTCTCTTTTTTGCTCTCTCTGGTTACCATTGACTTTTGAGACGAGGATGAAAATAAGTTTATGGTAAATTTGATGGCGAGCAGAATTTGAAGGGTTAAAACTGGTCATCAGATGAAATCAGATCAACGCTATTTGAGGACAGATACAGTTGCGCATTAAAAAAAGTCTTCGTGGAAGTAAAACTACAAAGTTATTTTTGTTATTTAATGTTAGAATCAGGATCACACGTCTCTTAAATGAGGGCTTTCTTCTCATTATTACATCAAAGTTTGAACAAAAATGTCTTTCAATGTAGTGCCCAAAATATCATTTTTAAAACCTTTATTTTTAACACGACACTACAAAGAATAAAGCGTTCTCTTATTGTTTAGTAAGAAAACAGCGCATAAGCTCATATTTAATGGAGGGAAATGCTGAGGGAAACGGGGAGTTCCCTGCAAAGATAATCAAAAGTGGCCGTAAAGACAGTATCTGCTCCGTTTTGGGGGGGAAATGCGATGTAGCTTTCAGGCTGTGCTGCAGGAGTGTGTTCAGACAGTATTATAGACACTACTTTTACGGTTTGGTTCAGCTCCCTGCTGACTGGAGGAGGACGGAGCCCCGAACAGCCCGCTGCTTTCAATCAGGAAGGGTGTAGAAAGTTGTGCGTTTGAATGCCTGATGTTCTGTGAACTTTCTGTTAATTTAAATGGAGACACCCCCCCTCCCTCCTCCTCCCTGTACATCTCTGTATCACTCCCGGTTTGGTTTAGTGCCTTTTCTCTCAGACACTCTGAAATAAAAACGGTGATACCTCTGGAACCCGCTCCACGCATTCTGTTCCAAACCTCACTCTGCAAAACATGCCTCCATTTGCTTTTTGGGTCTTTGGCATGCTTTCGTTTGATCTTTTTTCTTTTAGGATCGCCGTTAGTCTCTGGAGGAATCCAATACATGGCCGTGTCACATGCTGTTGGAGCACACAGAAAAGATGCTTTTTTATTTTTAGGGAAAATGAAAGCTGTTTTGTAACCGAATCTGTTCCAACTAAATCCAAAATCCACCATAAAGAATTCTGCTATCTCAGCTCCTCGGTGCTCTCGGCGGTTTCGGGCCTTCACAAAGCTCTGCTTTTGTGACATACCGCCGGTTTGTTTAAAGTCAGAAGCAAATCGCTTCTCTCCGACTCTCCCTTTTCAATAAAACAAGCTCCTATTTTAAGAGTAGAATCTGGCTATTTAATTTCAGGAATTCTCTACCAAAGAACTCGTGAAATGCTTGAATGAAGAACCAGATTTAGAAAGAATTGAAAAAGTTTATTCCACCAATGGGCCTCATTTAAAAAGCGGTTAATAAATTACAGGCTGAAAATACTGCAGCTGGTCATTAGGCTCACTGACGCAAAAAACTTTACCAAATCGAGCACGTCTTCCTCTAAATTAAGACTTTGTGAGCGTAGTGCTGGGGTTTAGTGATCATCATCTTCAGGTGGAGGTCTGGTGCCGTCAGAGCTGCGGTCAGTCGGGCTCTTTCCTCTTTCTGGTGACCGGACCCCGTCGGGCAGGGGTCAGCCGTGCCTCTGTGGCCGGACTCATGGGGGGGGCGTGTCGGGTCAGCCGTGGCCTCCGGGGTGCCCCCCCCCTAACGCGGCCACATGCCCCACGCCATCCCGGGGAGGAAGAGGGCGATGAGGACGGAGGAGAAGAGGTTGACCGCGTTGTTGTCCAGGATGGGCTTCCCGCAGATCCGCTGGGTGGTGGCCGACTCGTAGCTGACCACTTTCCCGATGCTCGAGTCGAAGCCTGAGCGGGGAAAAAAAAAGAGACCAAACGGTCAACGGGCGGCTGCTGGCGGGTTTTGAGGGGCCTCGGCGTCCGTTTGTACCTGAGTACTGCATGTGGGCCCCCAGGAAGGAGTCCAGCAGGGACCCCAGCAGGCCGGCCGCCCCCCCGTACAGGACCAGGGGCCACTGGGGGTCGGCCAGGTGGAGCTCGCTGATCAGCAGGACCTGGGTCGCAAAGTAAGCCCCGCCCACCGCCGCCCCGCCCAGGAAGCTGGCCACCAATCCGACGGGGGTGACGCCTCCATTAGTTCCTGGTGGGAGAGGATAGGATCCTCTGGTCAGGTGGCAGGAGTCCAAATTCTGGCCACGCAGAAGGATGAGGGCCCCCCACGGGACGGAGCCTCGGTTGGATATCCAACTCCTCCCACATCCAAGTCGGCCATTTTGATTAGGTCATGTGACTAGCAGCTTTCTGAGGTGGAAACGAAACTTTACTTTCTATACGAAATCGAAAGACAAACGATGTCCTATACCCTGACCCTAAACCTAACCTTAACACTGACCCTAAACCTAACCCTAACCCTGATCCTAACCCTCCACCCTTCATAATTGTGAGAAATAAATATTTTTTGGTTAAACTTGTTTGGACTTATTGTACAAACCTATTTAACACACATTATTTTATCATAATATTATGGATAGAGTTTAATTCAGTGTTTGCAAGATTCATTTCACTATTTTTAAATTAATGTCTATATTGCCATGAAGCAATTAGGATTCTCTTGCCTGGGATATTCCTATTGGTGACCTAATCAAAATGGCCGACATGGATGTGGGCGGGGTTGGATATCCATCCGTGGCTTCCTGCAGTCTTTCCGGGGCGCGGCTCACCTGCCGGCACCTCCTTCCAGGTGGTGATGAGCCTGGGCTGCGATTGGCTGAGGACGGGCCCCACCTCGGAGGCCCAGGTGTCCCCGGCGCTGCAGGCCAGCGCGCCCAGCAGCGCCAGGCACATCCAGGAGGCCGAGTACTGCCTACCGAAGTCGATGGGGATCTCGCCGGGCCCCACCTGAAAGGCAGCGCCGGCCATCTGTATCGGTGCGTTTTGGGTTTTCTCAGTGCGTGTGCGTGTGTGTGTGCGTTTACCTCGATCATGTAGAGCAGAGCCACCTCGGTGGGAACGCCCCCGTTACAGAAGACCTGAACCCAGTTCCTCTGGCCCCCTAAGGCAAAGCCCAGCGTTAAAAGATAATCCTACAATCCTCTGGTTTTAAAAGGCTTTTTCCTCTCACCTTCTTTGTACTCGGCGTCTATTTTCTTCTTCTTTGCCCCACCCCAGCGGGTCAGTTTGGAGGAGGTGAGGAAGAAGGCCAGCAGGGAGGAGAAGAAGCTGAAGTTGGCCATGGTCAGGACGAATCCCACCAGCAGAGCTGAGGAGGTTCACAGCACAGGAACAGGATTTAGGAGGTTTCTGAGGAACAACTGCACCTCCAGACTAAAGAACCATTCACACTTATAGGAACACAAACTCCAGTGTGCTCCTCGACAAAACGCACACACAAAATATAGTGGCGATTGTTTGTCGAACCAAACATCAAAAGAAAAGTTCCTCAAGCCACTAAGAGGCAATGGGGTCCAGTTTCTATACGCAGGAAAGAAAAGAGTTCATATCCAAACTTCTTGATTATTGTTGAAGGTTTATTGGTTCCCTTTTTTGCAACAATTACAGCCACTTTTCATAGTCTTGTTCTCTTGTCCTGTTCTCTTGTCCTGATCTCTTGTCCTGGTAAAACCATAGGCCCCAACCCATATGCCTGCTGGTCCTTTACCAGGCCCCTATATTTATAGGCAAGTGGACTGACCCACATGACCCATTTCCTGCTTAACTCAAATAATGAATAAGAAAAATAATAAGACAAGAAATTAAATAGAATCAACAATTATTAACCTGCAAAATAAATACTGTAAATTAATACAAAAAATATACATTTAAGAATTAACTAACAAAAATTCAAATGCATAAAGAAATAAAGAATAAATAGCTCCAACACAAAAGTCTGAAAAAGCACAATGAAACTCTTAAAAAATTCAACATTTCCAGGCAATTGGAGCCCTTTTCTGGAGCCTGTTGGCTGCTCGTATGAGGGGCAGAAGCACAGGGACAGTAGTGACAGAAAGGGACAGACTCCATGCCCAACCAAACCAACTTAATGAGCCGTAAAGCACCTTCGGCTGTTTTCGAGAGGCTTTTGGAAGCGCTCGCCAAACACAATGAGCATCTATCAGAGCTCAGCCGCTTGGCAACAAGGCCCTCTTTTGACAACATCCTGGAATCGGTGCCAACAATCTTGTGACGCCTTCCGAACGCTCTTTTCCTCCATTTGTAGAGAAAAAAAACTCTTCACTGTTAATGAATTGATTCATTTTGGTTGTTTTTAACCATAAAGCTGCACTCTGTGCTCCCCTAAAAAAAGAAAAAATTAAATAAAACAGGTGGAGTCGACTCAATCATGAGATGACAATGATGCGATTGGAGCTTTTCATGGGAAAGTTTTGCCAGATAAAATGGGAAAAGTCACCAGCGGCCTGATGGCGTCACAGTACCGCACAGCATTAGGAACAAAAGTGTTATTTTGTGCAATTTGAGCTGCTCATGACATTCCGCTCGTTCCAAGAAGTGAAAAAAATAAAATAAAGAGTTTTTGAGAAATGCTGAGGACTAAGCAGGCAGGATTTGATTTCTCTTTGGCGGGACCCTCACACAAAGCTTCTGAAACCCACCTCACCCCAGTTGTCATGGGTTTAGAAAAAATCATAATATGAAAAGCAGTTCCAATGATAAGCTCAGGACAGAATCACCTCAGACCTATTTTCTGTGCCCAGAAAGGATCCAATTGAGCCTTTTTCCCCCCTTAAAGTCTAATTATAAGAGATTCAGTCTTCATCTTTTCATTTTCCCTCTTAAAATGACACAAGGATGGTAAAGATGACAAGTGACATCATCACTGTATTTGAGTCAAATACAGTTTGAATAGGAGGAGGCTCCCCGGAGCTTTTCATCCATTTATCTACTAATACTGAGACTATGGGTGGGGTTGACCTCCATCTTTTCTCTGGGGGGGACTCTCACCTCCGAGGGCTCCTGATTTGTCCAGGCTGCGTCTCTTCAGGGCCCGCAGGGTCAGCATGACGGGGACCAGGATGGAGAACAACCATCGCCACGGCGACACCGGCTGCAGGTTCCCTGCAAACGCAGAGCCAACTGGTCTTAAGCAACAGTTCTAACAGTTCTCGAGGCTCCGGCTTTAATTCTCCAGGCTTTGAACCTGTCTAAGGCATGTTTTCAACACACTCTGTTTCCAGAAACGAGAGGCGTGCAAAAAAAAAAACAACACAAACAACAGCAGGAAACCAATAAAAACCTTGTTTGTTACCCGTTTGTCTGAGGACCAGGATTAATTTTCAGGTTATATTGTGTAATACATTTAATTTCTCTCATAAAGATTTCCCTATTTAACATGAACTCTGTTTCCTTGTAGCAGATCTGGAGTCAGTGTGTAACCACCTAAATTACAAGCTGCTGTTCAAAGCTGTAAATCACACTCAGTGCATTCAAATCAACGCAAGTCTGACAACATTTTCTTTTAATGCTTTGCATGAACTGATTATTTGGATTTGATTATACAGTATTATAATTGTATTACAATTTATTGGAATATTACTGTTTTGAATAGGACTTATTATACTGAAAAATGGAATTAAAACCATCAGTTTTGCTGCTTTTCTATCTAGGTTTTGTTGAGCAACAGCTTGCTAGTTTCTAAACATTTTCTCAATTGTCTTTTATGACTAATAATAATCTAAAAAAAGAAAAACGGGAAGTTAGTAACAGTAAAGTTTCTCTTGATCTTATTTGTCAAATATATTTAAGAGGCATAACACTGGAAAAATGTATTGTAAGTCTGACCAAAACTGGACTCGATTGTTTTTTCTTAAAAAAAGACTCAAATGGACCTCAGCATTTTGCACATGTAGAACATTGAATCCCTTGTCGTAACAATGATTACTCGAATCTCAAATGTAATCAATAAATGGAAGTTAAGTGCTGAAAATTGCAGATATATCTTCAACCATGCTTGAAAAATCCAACCATGAGAAAATGTTGTAGTCTGTATGTGAGCACGAAGGCAAAAGGGCAAATTCTGAGAAGAGCGGATGATTTGATGCTTTAGTGAAAAAAAAAAACATTTCCAGGAGGCCGGGCGCCACCCAAAGAGGAACAAATACAGAGATCCAAATTCTCGGAACATGAGAGACGAGTAGGCCTGCAGGCGTTTTACCTGAGACGGCACTCATGGTGAGGGACAGGACCCAGAAGAAGAGCGACAGTGCCAAGGTGGCACACAGCAGGATCATATCGGTCATCATCTTGATGTACTCCTTGGCCAGGATCTCCCGCTCAGAATCCATGAGGGAAAACGGGCCGGGCTGCAAGACAGGAAGCCAGAATCAGCATCAGAGGGGTCACCGGACCAGAACCACCGTTTTCTCACAGGTGTGTAGTTTCGTTATCACCGGAAGCTAAAACCTGGGCTCAAATCTGTTTTCCATAGCCGGTAGAGCTGATGCAGACGGGAGACTAATCCAGAAGGTGGATCCCAGCTGGCCAAAACGTTAACAACCTTTTACGGCAGCAGAGGTTTTTATTCAAAGAAAAAAAAACATAAAAAATAAACACAATCTCGATAGGAAAGTAAAGAAAGATAGATGTGAGGTTAGTAATGAATTGAATTTATCAACAGCCGAATAAGTTGGCTATTCCATCATTTAGGGGCAGTGACAGTAAAAATTTTATTTTTTTTACTTTAGTTCATGGACACTTCTAGGAGGAGCTGGTGGGCAGAAGGTTTCTGGCCCAGGCGTGTGCACTTAAGAGGTCAGCTGAGGTCAGCAGAGTAAGCAGGAGCCCCTTCATGCCAAAAATGGGAAAAGCCAGCAGGCACAATGGTTGAAGTTCTCCTTTTTCAGCAATGGCTGCACAGAGAGATGTTTAAGGCAGCCGGACCACAGCCAGAGACATCACTGGGGTTTAACTATTCAATAAGAAATGCCTCAGCTGTGTCAGGAGACTATTTCTAGGGCCAGAAGGCCCCCAATAAGACCCCCAGTAAGACCCCCCAACACTTTGAATGACCGGCAGAAAGGGGATGGCTAAAAGAAAAAGTTCCCTGAAAATGAATCTGTTTTAAAATGGTTGACATTCAAGTATTTTTTAAGTTCACTGGAAAGTCCAGCTTATTTTCAAAAAGAAAAGAAAAAAACAGATTCAGTGTTGTCCTCATAAATTCTGGATCCTGGATACACAGTGGATGGACAGATGGTTTGAGGACAAACCCTCCAAAAGTCCCTAGTTTCTTAGAAATGTTCCTGTGGTTAAACCCCAGCCTAAAAGACTTCCAAGAACGATGGTTTTAATCTTGTACAAAACCGTCATCGTCAATGCGAATAGGCAGGCCAACAGTTAAAGAAAAGAACAGTACAGCCTTTCACGTAGCGTCTCGGCTTGAAATGTGTCCAAAATTAACCAGAAAAATTGGAATGACACAAAAGAGACGAATTGGATATTTCTGACTCATTAAGTGCATTTGAGTTAACAAGCCTGCTTAGCGAATGGCAACCATCGCCCCAATGGAAACATATATATATATTAATATGAATGTACATGTATATGTTGAGTAATTAACACACTTGCGTAACGCATGATACAAGTGAACTCACCCATCGTGATTTAGCGTTCAACTCCCTTTATTTCAAAAGCTAAATGTAACCTCCTCTTCAATAAATACAGATGCAACCGCTAATATTTCTGCATATACGTTTATACAGATAAATACTGATACCAACAAATATTCCAGTGGATAGGAAGCAACTCCACCGAATAATTTCTCGGCAGACGCTCCCTGTCGCCCATAGGGTGTGGAAATAATGGGGGACCAGACGGAAGGATTTAAGTGACGGAACGACTTCCGTAAACAAAATGTTCGGGTCTTAAAGCGAAAGTTACAAATATTACAGCAACATACGCACAGCTCAGTAATTATGTCCAATCCAAAACAACGCTAAATAACATACTTACCGCGTTAACAAACGGGGAAGTGTGTGTATGTAATTATTTAACGTAAAAACAGAAAACCATTTAATGGAAAGTCTTTGAAGCTTTACATGCAACATGTTTTAAAACATCCATACCTGTTTGTCATATGTCTTATGCGCTTCTGTACATTATCATTAGACCCTTTCCATCCATACAATAAGCATGAGAAAGTACCAAAGGATCTTAGCTTTTAGCTAACAAAATTCCAAAAGTATTTGTGGAATAAACAAATTCGCATTACCACTCTCTGGTAGTGGTAACCAAATATTGCAGATTGATTGCATGGGAAGGGATTCTTTTTTCCAGAAATCCCCATAAAATAAATACAAAGGAAGCCTCAACATTTCCCCCTGAATTTCTGAAAGCTGTCAGTTTGTAGCTGTAGAGAAAAATGCTGCCTGTGAATTGTGATCATATGGGAGAAAGTTGTTCTTCTTAATATCAGAGAATGCTGCAGTGCATAAACAGAGCTCCGTCTCCAATCAATTCTCTCTCCATTAAGAAACACATGCTCTGTTCTCTAAGTGCCAAAAATCCCCCAGTGAGGCCAAGTCTTTAAATCACCTGACTTTTAAGATCAAATCTCCACTGCTGCGAGAAGAAAATGAATGAATGAATCAATGACAGAGACAACCACTTTGCTTGATTTATTCATTCATAGATTATCTGTATCCATATAGAATTTGGCACAAAGTTGTTCCCACAGGATTCAAATCACATTAACGACTTTAAAACCTCCATGTAGCTGAAATCTGATGGTATGGTGTTTACCCTGAGAAATAGCAATGTCTCCAAAAAATGACTGATCTAGAATGTATGTAAATTGTTTGTGGTTCCCAGATGATGAATTGTGACAGGATTTAAAATTGTGGTCTTGACTAGCAGAATAAAAAGCAATGTACACAAGAAAAAGTGGTCACGAAATGCTTGATGAACAATAATGACTACCTTAATTAGAGTTGATTAAAAAAAAAGAACCTAATTTATTATCGAAATGGTCCAATATGTCCTAGGCAAAAGATGTGGTCCAAATTTCCAGTGGATGTAAGAAAAAGCTCTTTAGCAATTAAAATAATGTTATTTCTGTGAGGGTAAATAAAGTCTGTGCAACTAATTAATGGCAAGAAAAACTCGCCAGCCTGGAGATATCAATTAATTAATTAAATTAGCTTAGAGTTAAATACACACAGATGAATCCATGGATGAACAAATATACATTGCTTTTATGATTTGTTTTTCTTTTTTGCTGAAAATGTTCTGCTCTTCAAAGACACCCCCTCTTCACCAAATAAAGTACAGCATATATAAAAATATGTACTCATGAACTACAATGACAGGTGTTTAGTATTAAACACTAATCAAACTTGTCAACCAGGGACACAAACATCTAAATTCAATGCTTACAATGAGCACTTCTGTTACCAAGCATGCACAACTCACACACTAAGAGAAGACAGCTATTCTTTTTTTATTGGAATGTAGCATGAAATTCTTGGCATGAAGCTGAATTCCGCTTGTGGCCTCATTAAACAGCTTTTTTTTTACATAATGAAAAGATTTGAAATCACTTACCAAGCAAAGTTGAGCTGATGAAGATCAGAGCAAAAGTGATTTGAGCTCTTTTTGATGCAGCCGACACTTTTAAGGAAGCGTAGATCCACCCATGGAGTGAGAAAGTGAGAGTTTGATGACATGCACCAGATCAAGACCAGGGGAAGTTTGGTTGTTTACCACAATAGATGTGTACAGTCATGTTTAATACTGTATTAAGAACCAACTCATCTTAGAATTGCACTCCTCTGGACAGAGATCTCGGGTTTTGTTACAACAATATTTTGGAGCTACTTTTGTGGGTTATTGCTCTGAATGCTTCGTTTACTACTGGCATCATTACTTTTTTCTCTCCCCACATCCATGCAACTGCCTCCTGTGGCCCTTCATGTCAGCTTATTGTGATGGTTGCTGTCACTGATGCTGCTGATCTGAACTACTCTCATGAATTCTTATGAAAAATGGTGGACTACAATAAATTAAATACACATGCTGGAGTTTCATTCTATATTATTTGAAATACTGAGCCGGTGTTTGAAGCTAAGTTATCTTAATGACAAAATAGAGTGAAATGTTTATTACATCCATCCAACTATCCATTTTATTCACTGCTTATTGCCATAAGCAGTGAAAATAATCAAAAAATGTTCTGCCACTTTTTCTTTAGCTTTTTGATATACGATTGGGTTAAATGTAATAGTTTAGTCATACAACGGCAGTGCCATTTGCAGAGCCATGAAGTCATCAGACCTTGAAGCAAATTGCAAACAGCAATAAATTAAGCTTCGATTTTTGGTTGATGAATAATGAACATCTTCAAAGAACAAAACGGATCAAGTTGTGGCGTATAAAAGCTCAACAATGATACTCTTCATAAGTAGGTTGTGTCTCTGACATAAAGCCTTCTTCACAAAATCATCATGTGACGGTGAACTTTCCAGCCCAGGTCCGCCCTGATGTCTGGAAGTTTCTGTTTGAAAGCAACTTTGAACTGAAATGATTGAAATGATATGAAACTGCCAAAGGCAGACAGAGATAATCGGTTTGGTTCTGTCCAATCCAGAAAACCACAAATATGAAGTGCTTACATTTACACACAAAAATGGGAAAAGCAGGGGTTCACTGAAAACAGAAATGCTGGATAAGCTTCTCTGTGAAACAAAAATATTGTGACCTACCTTTATTCATTTGTACATTTTTAGAAATGAAGAAAAAGATAATTAAAATGTGTTGACCTAAATGCAAAGCATAAAAGGCTAAAATTGCATGCACAATTGTAACAGGATATGAAACCTCTTTATTTGATATTAGAAATAAGACTGGCCACCCTTCCATGGAGAGAATTTCTAATGAAGATTGGGCCAAAAGGAGATGCATCAGCTGAAGGACCAGATGCATCTCTCAGGTCCTGATTCAGGTCTTTGCTGGATTTTTTTATCTTTGGCATCACTTTCAGATCCTCTTAATTACCTTTAAGTAGTTAATATTACATTTAAGTTGTGTAGACAAACAATGGTTATGCTACAAAAATGTAAGCCTGTAACTACAACATGTACATTCATTAAAATGAAATGTGCTCATTAACTGAAAATATCTATCTATGAATGTTCACATTCAAGTATAATCATTCACTATAGTAATTACATTATGGAGTGCTAGATATGTTTCAATTTGTAAAAAATACCTATAATAATTTCCCATCAATGTAACTCACTAATCGCTACAGGATTAGTATAGAATTAAATCATACACACAGATATTTTAGTTTCAACATATTGTGTTGTCTTTATTATATATCAAAGTTTTTTTACAGTAATATTTTTCACAGGAAACAAATTTAGACTATCCTGATCTACATTCCGCGAGTGCCTTCAAAACGAGTTTTACGTTTCTTGAAACTATGTTTGGACCTTTCGGCTTTCCGTTATATTTACATCCGGGGGATACAAATATGGCGTCGAGTTGACGTGCAGTTAGCTGGGTCTATTGACATTTTTTCTTTTAAAACATAACGTTTCGGGCTTATTTTTAATGCATTCACTAGACGAGTATAGAAACAGTGTAGAATTTTGAGAATGTAAAGTTTGAAAACTAGTACATTTCGTGTCTCTTGTGAGAGGTTTTCACGGCGTTAACACTCGGCTAACTTAGCTCCCCTTACTGGCAGCCTGTTGGTCTTTGGGGGAGTCTGCGAACTATGACGGAGGTGGAGGAGCTGCGGCCCGTTCCGCGGGAGCAGGCCATACTGGAGAGTTTCTTCACTCAAGTTGGCATGTTTTCCTTCGACCGAGCGAAGGACTACGTGGAGAAAGAGAAGGACATTAGCAAGAGCGCCGGGGCCATCTGGAGCGCGCTGCTGGCGGCTCTGGCCCACCTGGCCGCGGCCGAGAAGGTCTACCACAACATGACATTCCTGGGCCAAAAGCTAGGTAAACGGGCCATTTACCACCGAATACTGCTCCGGTTCTCTGATTGGTTCCGGATAAGTTTTGACCGGATAAGTAAAACTCCTTTTTGTCATTTCTGTAGTTTGTAACATTTAAATGTTTTACTTACTTTTAAAACGCATACATGCACAATTGAATATGCATAGATTGTATTTATATTGTGGCTAATCTGGGCAATAATCATTAAATGTTAATCACTATATTTGTTGTTCTTAGAATGGAATGCAAACTTGATATGCACAGATCAGTCCTGGAATGGGACATCCACCTAATTCCCCCCTTCCCCCCCCCCCCCCCCCCAAAACAGCCTCATTTCCCTGAACATCTGTAGCTGTCAGCAGCAGATGTTATCAGTCTTCATTTCGACCTTTTTCCCTTCCAACACATCAACATAAAGTACAAAATGTTTATATTCTGCACCCACTGTTAAAAGATCATCAGTATTTTCACAAGTGTAAAGTAGAAAGTGTTGAACTAAATCTTTCAATTTTCAAAAATAGTTTCTAAATAAATACATTTACAGTAACGAAAATAAAGGACCTGCTATTGTAGAAAGGGTTTTTTATGTTTGTCCTGCAGAATTCAGCAATCTTGACCAATTTCTAAATGTTGTCGAAAATGGTAACATTTCTATTATATATTTCAGCCTGAAAAGCTTTCTGTCTACTTGAAAAATATTTTATTCCATGAAGTTCTTTGGACATTAAATGATCATTTAAAATGATTTTAGAAGAAAGACAGAGTCTCCAACAGCAGGTGGCGCTGTGGCACATGAATGAAACCCATATTCTCGTTACACTGACCCAGTCCACAGAAGCGGTCTAATCAGCACTTTTCCTCCCTTCACCCTCTGCAGGCGGGCAGTCTTTCTTCAGCCGCAAAGACTCCATCCGCACCGTCTACACCTCCCTGTACAACGAGCTCCGGAAGGTGGTGACCATGGGGCGCCACGGCCAGCCGGGCTCCGCCTCCTCGCACCTGGAGGACCTGCTGTCTCACCTGTCGGAGCAGCTGTGCCACTTCACGCAGGCCCGCATGGAAATGGCCGACCTGTACGAGAAGCTGCACTCCCTGGGGAGCCAGAAGAGCATCAACTCGGAGGAGCTGGTGGCCACGCTGGAGGCCGTGCTGCAGAAATACAGCTCCAAGTTTGTACCCCAATACATCAAGAAGTGTATTTAAAAGCTGCATTCAGGGGCCGTCGGTTTATCCAACGCAGCCCTATAAACATTAACTGTTGTATTCTGACATTTATTAATTGTTTGGTAGATTAAATTTTACAATCAAGATCAGGTAAATGTTCACCAAACATGATATTAATGTGTTTTTGGAGGGATTTAAAAAAAAAAAGAACCTTTTTGGTGTAGTAAAATACTTTTTCCCCCCACTTCAATTGGTAAATAGTAACAGAATTTTCATGGAATACTGGAAAGCCTCATTATTTTTTGCTGCCGGAGATTTTCCACTTAAAGCGAACCCCACCCTCCCTCCACTGAAACCTTTCTTTGAACACGTGTGGGTTGTGGCAGTACAGAAACCTAAGCAAAAAAGCAAAGGAGAGAATGACACATTTAGGTTGGAGGGGGAAGATCCCCCCCCCCCCCCCGTCCTGCAGCAGGATCACCGCCCGGGAGCGCTGAGCTGCAGCGGGCATGACGCGCTGACCGTCCCCCGTCTGACCGTCCCCCGTCTGACCGTGCTCTGGGGGGTGAAGGTGCAGGCTCAGCTGCTGACCCGGTCAAAGCTAATCCAGTTTGGGCTTGTCCAGGCACAGACCTGGACACACCCTGAGCTGCTGTCAGGTGGAGGACAATTAGGTCAGCCGCTGCAAACAGAAGCTGGAGACACGTTATTGTCCCTGACAGGAGGCTTGTGTTTCTAAATCCAGGATTGCATAAAAAGGGTTACATCTTTTTGCTTCTCACCTGTGTTTAATGAAACAAACGGTCATCTGGGGTTCTTTGTATCACTCCTAGGTTCCACCACCCCATCCTGGGCCGGGTGGAGGAGGGCTTCCAGACGGAGGTGGACGTGGTGACCCAGCTGCTGCGCTGCCAGGCCCAGGTGTCCGAGTGGCACTTCCTGCCCGCCCTGCTCAGCCTGCACGGCGCCCACTCCAAGCTGACCGTGTGGGGCCAGCTCTTCCAGCGGCAGAGGGAGACGCGCAAGAACCTGTTCGGGGGCCAGTCCCAGAAGGCGGTGCAGCCGCCGCACCTGTACGCCTGGCTGCAGCGCTTCCAGGCCGCGCTGCTGGCCAAGTTCAGCTTCTACTTCCACGAGGCGCTGAGCCGGCAGACGGCGCCGGCCGACATGCGGGCGCTGACCGCCCGCACGGCGCCGGACTACCACGGGAAGATCTGCGCCTTCATCCGCAAGCACGACGCCAGCAACGTGTCGCTGGTGTTCGACAACCGCGGCTCGGAGAGCTTCCAGGGCCACGGCTACCACCACCCGCAGTCCTACCGGGAGGCGCCCAAGGGCGTGGAGCAGTTCCCCGCCGTGGTGTCGCTGCCGTCCGGCGAGCGGCCGCTCACCCACTGGCCCAACGTCATCATGATGATGGGCGACCGCGCCGCCGAGCTCAACACGCTGGACAAGGTGGTGCACTTCTACGACGACAAGGTCCAGAGCACCTACTACCTGACGCGGCCCGAGCCCCACTTCACCCTGGTGGTCATCTTCGACGGCCGCAAGTCCGAGAAGGACCAGGCCATCGCCGCCTTCCTGCAGGAGATCGCCGTCTCCCTCCGGAACTCCAAGCCCTTCAGCATCCTCAAACCGGGGTCAAAGGGCTGAGCAGAGAGGGGAGGGACGGCTCCGCTGGTCCACTTCTGTCCACTTCTGTCCACTCAGATGCCAAAAAATGTCCCAGACCAAAGAGAATTCAGCTGTGGCGTAGATTTATTTTACCTCGAGCTTCTCAGACCCATACAGAACCTCAGAGAGGAAACCGCTGCCGGAAAACCCTTTTGTAAGATTTCATTTTAATTTATCGTTTTAACTGCTTTTTATTTGTCATCTGCTGCCTTTGAATAAACTTTTGAGATGATTGCATACCTGGTCTTTTTCTCCACAACGTTAACCAACGTCCCTTTGCTAAACTCCAGGAAACAGTTAAACGGTGAATAAAACACGAGCTGCACTGAGCAGTCATCACATATTTGAAGTGTATTTTAATGGACTTACCGACTGCTGTTCAGATTTAAAAACCATTTGAAAGAAGATGTGTTCATGACAGACAAACACTTTCAATCAAACACGACGTGTATATGTTGAAATACATCACCAACACTACAGTGTATTTAAACGATGGTACTTTCACTTGCTATAGCTTATTTAATTAGTGATGCGTTCACTGACAGCTCAGCTAACGTTACACACCTAAGACCACATCGTCATGTGTCACATAACGGGCTTCTGGATTGGTTGGACGCTCCAACTGAATTAATCTTCCACAAAAACCGTCAAAGAAAAGGTCCCGCCGGCAGCTGAGTTGAATGCTAATTTATTTGGGTTTATTTATAATATAAATACAACACATTGATACAATCCATTTGGCTATATGAGCTCAACTTCATGAGGCTCAGTTTTCAAATACAGCAACACTAACAGACAAGAACCGTTTCCGTTATTATCAAACACATTCAAAGAAACCTCCCTTTTGAATTAAAATGCACCAACATGTTATGATGCTACATGCCAAGTACACAATCCTATACATCAAAGTGCAATGTCACAATGGGTTAATGCTAGAATTCGGTAATCTACTAGACACTTCATGATCGTTTCATCCGGAGTGCTGCTGCTCTTCGTTCAGGACATGCATGAGTGGATTCACAACTCCCAAAAAAAGACGAGGATTTACAAAAGAAAAAAAAAGGCACTTTCACGTACACTCTTACACACACGCACACACACACAAAGGTGCATTCACAGCCCATTCCAGCGCATCAGGTTTCATTTGAAATCCACACACTCACAGCCCAGTGGGAGGCCACATTCAGTGTGCTGTTCAAGTGTTCTTTTGGGCCTTTACACACGGAGCCCCACCCTGTTAGCTTATTGTGAATTTAAGGTTAACTAGTGACTTCAGTGGAACGAGCAGGTAAACCGTTACTTTGACACACACACACGTACGTACAGAAAGTGGCATGCTTTTTTGCACTCGTAGCGTTTCTCCCGACTCGCACACTGTGTTCTGGCACTCAAGGCAGGCATGAATTATCTATCATCTAACGCTATTCTAGTGCTTCTGCACCTACGAGGGAGCCGAACAGGGGCAGGCAGGCAGGACACACACACACACACTCACACACACACACGCAAACACACGTCTTATGCTCGCTCAGACAAACGAGAACTAAATCATACACCCACCCTGCCGACCCAGAAAAAAAGGCTTCCTCCTCCTCTGGGCCCAAGGTATGCTCCGGCAACGCAAGAAGGCCGTTTAAAAAGTTAAGCGAGCCGCTGTTCGCGTTCACAGCGGCGCGCCGAACATTCAATAAGATGGCTGAACAGTCGTCGAAAGCTGAACACATTCAATAATTAGCTGGACGTTGGTTAGGTACCTTTTTCTGTCACACCTCAAGAGGCGTCTGAGGTGTTAGTGAGCTTAGCAGCTGAACCGAGTGGAAAAAGACCAAAGGGAAAAACAAAACAAAAAAAAAAGAGTCAATTAGAAGTCACGCGGAGGTTGGAACCGTTGGTGCTGCATCCTCCTCTTCCTCACCGGTCCGTTCGGTCATCGTAGACACAGCAGCCAGTCGGGGACCGGCCAATCACGGGCCTATCTTCTTCACATCACAGCCAACATTCACGTCACTGAAACTACATTTTTACAGGAGCTGAGCCGCGCTCCCCGGATCTCCCTCCAACGGGACAGGAAGCTCGGCCTAGGCCCCGTCCTAGGCCCGGTTGTAGGCCCCGGCCCACACCCAGTCCTAGATCCCGGCCCACACCCAGTCCCAGGCCCCGTCCTAGGCCCTGTCTTAGGCCCCGTCCTGATCTCCCGATCAGCACTTCTTTTAGCTAACCTTTGATAAATGCTTCAATACATGGAGAAAGCAAACTCCTACACATCAAGAGAGTACACACCAACCTGACGACACATAAATATCATGGCATATCATATCATAGGTCATGTCATATATTTTTAGTTTATTACTACATTAAAAGCCTTTTCATCGCTCCTACGGTTTTTCTACCCTCATGTTGATTATGATCTATAAGCAATACCCTGATCTCCTCTTCTGGCCCATTTTTGGCCCGGGTAGGCCTGATTCGGCCTTCTATCGGCCACGTTTGGCTCACATGGTGCAGGATTTGTCCAGCGGTGGGGGCAGAGGCGGGGTGCTGCTCTTGGGCGGGACCATAGGCTTGGGTCTGAGGGCGGGGGGCCGCAGCGGAGCCCCCATGCGGGCAGCTGCCACAGGCTTGAAGGAGCCCAGGGCATCAGGGGAGGGGTTGGCTGGTCTGGGGGGTCCGGGCGGAGGTCCGGGCAGCGGGCTGACGGGGCTCATGGGGCTGAGGGGGCTCGGGGTACCGGGAGTGCCGGGAGTCCCGGGGGTCCCGGGGGTTCCGGGTGTACCCGGCGTGCTGGGGGTGCTGTGGGGACTGGGCGACTCGGAGGAGCAGGTGGTGGCGGGGCCGTTCTTCACCTGCTCCAGGGTGTCCAGGACCACGTCGGGGGCCGGCCGGCAGCCCTGCCGCTCCAGCTGCCTCAGCTCCCCGAGAGCAACGGTCACCGTCTCCTCGATATCCTGCCGGAGGGATCAGGACGATCAAGGGACAAGATTTGCCAAGTTCAACCATCCTGACAGCCTGACTTTGTCAGCAGGGTTTTTGATCAGTGCTCAATGAGCATCTACGATCATACAACGTAATAATACATAACATATTAATCCAAATCAGGACAAGGGAAGAGAAAAAAAGGGGATACAATGCCCCATTTCTGTAGGGAATCAAAAAGTTCTACCATCCCAATGACTACAAATGGACCTTCCAGCCCTTGTTGGGAAACCACTGCAGATGGTCCAGAACACGGCGCCACCCCTCTGTCCGTCGAGCCCCACTGGTTAGTCATAACCAGATCACATCAAATTCAAGTTCCTGATGTTAGCCCACAGAGCACTTAAGGGTCTAGCTTCTACTAGAATATGTGGCTTACGTCACAACTTGGTCGCTCAAAATTGTCACCTAGCGGTGCCTACATCGCTCTTAGAACAATCCGGACTCCGTTCATGTGTCCTTCCATCATGGTGGAGTGACCTACTAAGCACTACAAGAACAGGGGCGTTCCTATCTATTTTCAAGAAGCTCTTGAGGACCCACCTCTTCAGAGAACATCTCCCACCCCAATACTGACCCTTGTCCCCCTAATAAACTACGAATGCTGTTTAAGTGGAGCTATAACCCTCAAGATCTGGGTATTTTTACCAACAATTTTTACCAATGGTCCAATCAGCCCTACCGATACGTGTGTGTGTGGGTTTGTGTGTGTGTACCTGGGCTAGCGCGTCGGGGTCCATTGCCCTAGAGCGCAGGGAGTCGCTGAAACTGTGCTGGCCACTGCTGGAGCGCCGGATGGGCGTGTCCTCGGGCCGCCGCAGCGAATCGTGGCGGCTCACCGTCATGGTGACGGCGGCCGAGCGCCGGCGCCGCTCGGGGCTGTCCAGGGGCGGGGTCATGCCCTGGCCCCGCCCCAGCAGCAGGTCCCGGGGACTGAAGTGACCCGTCACGGGCGGGGAGCTGCGCTCCATCCCCCCGCCGTTGCCGTGGTTATCGTTGGAGCGGCAGAGAGGGCGGCGGAACAGGTCGGCCGTCCGTTTCCTCCTGTGACTGGAAGCCAGGGCCAGAAGTAGCACAGGTCAAAACAGGTCCAGGAAACTTTAAATGAAGCTCTAAAATAACTTGAATATACACATATAGTTACATATTATATTTTTGTGTGGAATGCTGTATATACAGTGGGGGAAATAAGTATTTGACCCCTTGCTGATTTTGCAGGTTTGCCCACTTACAAAGAATGCAACGATCTATAACTTTAATCATATGTACATTCTAACAGCAAAAGACAGAATCCCAAAGAAATTTCCAGAAAATCACATCATATGAATTTATAAAAATTGATAACCATCTGATGAGGAAAAATAGCATTCTTTGTAAGCGGGAAAACCTGCAAAATCAGCAAGGGGTCAAATACTTATTTCCCCCACTGTGTATATATATATATATATATATATATATATATATATATGTGTGTGTGTGTGTGTATAGACATGTATATGCTGTTGTATGTCTGGAGTTGGTAACAAAAATTATTTCCCCCTGGGATTATTAAAGTATTTCTGATTTTGAATTTGAAATCTCTTCAGGATATCTTTATAATTGCTTTTTTTGGGCATATATATGAAAGTTGGGTAATTTGTGGGCTTCCCTGACTTCAATGGAAACAGCAGCTGTTTGATTGAAAGCTTCCACTGTGTCATCTTGTATCATGTGAAGACAGAAATACAATTCTAGGTGTTAAATTGTCTTGTGACAACGCTTTTGACTAAGTGAGAAGATCAAGGTATTTGAAACCCTGAAGGCTGGCGACAGTTTTCCATTCTTCCAGCCCCGAGTCTGTAAGTTAAATAACTTAAGTTAAACAACTTACAGACTTGTGCGTCTGTGTTCATATCTTAATGAAGATAAAATCGTTGGTGTAAAGGTGGAGTTTGCACAGGTCTTGTGAAGGCTGACAGACAGGGAAGCTGGTCACATGAGAGCTAGCTGTGAGAACAGTGGGTATTTTTAGAGGTGGGAGAAGAAGGTGGGAAGTGGGCTTAAAATTCCCCCGCCTCGTGATGCCGTGAGGTGCGTTACATCGCGGACCTGTTGTAGTTCTCGGGCGGGCGGATGTCGGTGGGGGAGCTCAGCTCGCTCCGGGAGCGCTTGTCCTCGGTGCTGCTGCTCCCGCCGTCGCTGTCGTTCTTCTGACTGAGCGAGTCCGACATGGCGTCGGCCCTGAACACACACAGACTCGATCAGGATAAATCACTGCTGAACCAACAGCGCACCGATCATCAATGAGCCGATCGATAGTGGCTCCTCCAGCCCGTTAATCAACAGCAGCAAATCCACTCAAATCCATCAGTTAAGCTGCTCGTTAAGGAATCAAATGGGCCAATCACTGTATGTCATCTGAGGTATTTCTGTTTTCCATTTCAAAATGGTAAAAAAATAAGGACCCAGATGTTTCAAAACTTAAAAAAGTATAATTGAATGTAGTCTAAACATAAAAGCAGCAATAGCTGATTGAATATTAAAATGACTAAATAGAATAATGTGAAGACCAAAGGGAATTTTCAGGGAAAAAAACCTTCTGGTTCTTACCAGGTTTAAAATGAGGTAAGATGCACAACAGCACAATACATTTTAAAACCACGCCACAATTACTTTAGTAACTTTAAATCAAAATGATGAAGCAGATTGTGAAAAATTAAGTCTGTTTTTCAGTTTTCAAAAAGTGACATTGTGTATTATGTCATGTGTTGTTGGCCAAAGGTTGTTTTTACCTCATTTTAAAGATATCCAAGACCATTTTTTTCATAATGTACAAAAGTATGTAAATTGGAACAATAGTAAATGTAATATTAACATAATGACAAATACAATAACAGTAATAATAATGATATAGACATTACCATTTGAGTTGTAAGTTTAACAAAATGTGTTCATTATACTCGAATACATTCATTTTACAAAATTATGAATAAGAAGTGCACAATATAGAGTATTAAAAATAAATTAAAATACTAAATTAAACCGCATCATAACCTGAATTTATAATGAATCAATTCCAAATGAACTAGACTTAAATCAAATATAGTTATTTCACTAACTAATGTTCTTATTTGAACATATATCCAGAAATGCAAATATTAAAAACAAAAACAATCTCGTAAAAAATTAAAACATGAGATTCATGTTCTATTGTTGATAACATTCAGTATGGTAAAACAAAACTAGTTAAGAAAGAGAGAATGAAAAAAAAAAAACATCTCCCAAATTTGGCTAAAAGCTGGCAAACATAATTCTGAACTAAAAAAAAATTGGACGGAGACGTGCGGGGGGTGTTTTTCAGACTGTGCCGTGCTGGTGTCTGCTGTGTACAAACCATCTGGGGCTGTTCACTCGCCTGTCCTTCACCAGGATGTACTGGTGGGGCACCAGGCCGCGGCGGCCGTTCAGCCGGCCCTCCCACCAGTCATGTGACGCGCGCTGGAACAGCTGCAGCGACGCCCCCTTCTTAAAGGACAGCTCCCGGCCCGACCGGCCCACGTAGTCGAACCTGGCCACCGCCTCCACGCCGTCCCCCTCTGACCGACAGAGAAAAAGAGGGGAAGGATAAGAAAACCAGGAACCTGACAATCTGCAGCTCCACCAATCAGATTAGAGCTTTGAGTCTTTTCTTATCAACTCAGAGGAAGACGGGGGGGGACTGAGGAGGTGGGTTGGGCGCAGAGGGAGAGAACGCGGCGATGTCTCCATGAGCGCCGTCGCCATGGCAACCGCTCTCCGGCAGGCTTGCGCAGGGGAGGGGTGGGGGGGCGGCGTGGGCGTTCGCGTGAAGGTCAGGGGTCGGGCGTACCCTCGTCGCTGGTCTGGGTCTCGGCGCCGGCGTCCGGCTCGGCCTCCTCCAGAGCGCCCGGCTCGCTGAAGGGACTCTCGCTGCGGGGAGAGAGGAAGAGGAGGAGAAAAACCCCCCATCCGATCAGTGCGGGGAAAAACAAAGGGAGGGGGACGCGGGCGCGGCGGGGGGGACCGGGCCCGCCAGTCCGAGTCTGACCAGGCTCCCCGCTCACGCCCGGGAGTCCAGATTTATTCGCTAAAAAAAAGGGGACGCGGCACAGTCTGCCGCCCCCTTTCACGGGGGAGGGACGGCTAGCCGTCGGGTTTAAAAACACGTGTTTTTGACAGCTCTCCAGGTGTCTCTGAAAGAGACATCTCAATCCTGCCAAAGCCTGACCCTGGGAGGTATTTCGACTTTATTTTCCTGAGCTACAAAAGTAAAAAAAAATGAGAAAATTCAGCACTGGGAAGGTTAACCTGAAATGCCTCACCAGTACTGGTCACCGGTCATGCACTTCTCGTAAACCGGGCCGGGCAGCTCCTTGGTGTCGGGGAAGATGTTGTCGTGGTGCAGGATGACCGTCTTAATGACCTCGTTGACGTGCGCCTGACAGGCCACCTGGTCCAGCGTGTCCGGCGTGGGCAGCAGGGTGGGGCCGAACACGATGGCCAGATTCCCCGCGTCCATCATGTTCTCGTCGCTGTACTGGGAGAGGCTGGAAAGAAGCAGGGTGCAGTGTGAGAGTATGGAAACATGGAAAAAAAACACCACAGATTCTGTAAAATGATCAAAATTGTAAGTAAAAAAGCTAAAATCTCCAAGCTGAACATGCCGAAAATGCTGCTTACATTTCAAAGAAAAAATATTTTCTGAGTTAATAGTCCTGTAGTCAATTACACTAAAACAATCCTCCCTCAGAAAACACATTACTTTTAAAGAATGATGACATATAAATAAATATATCATTATTACCCTCCTGTGTTCTGAACATCTAATCGGTATGGAACTGGGGCATTGTGCAAAATAAGGTTGGCGATCTCTAAACCAAACAAAGACCTGGCTGGCATTCAGAGTCAGATTCTGGCAGATTTTTTTCCAAAGGAAAACTGACATAACCCGGAGACAACATCCCAGTCAGAACGGGGATAATCATGAATTCTTTGTTGGCCATCGCCCTTTATTCTGCGGCTTGGGATCGGTTTTTGAAATAGTGATGGTGGAGCGCCCGCTTTAATAACATTGTGGCTGAAAGCGCTTCAGAGCTCTGCTAATAAACACACACAGCGAGTCATCTGGCGGGTACATCACACTTTCACATCACACTCCCCGCTCACACCTCCCGCCTCTCCATCGGTCACCGGGCTCTCATTCTATATTTATTTGAGCGCAGGCAGAAAACAAAACGAGCTCGCTTTTTGTCGTCTCTACAAGTGCACACTTTCCATCCACTCCGTGTGAGAGCCTCTCACACCTTTCTTCCGCTTTAAAGTCACGTGGGAGCTCTGGGAAAATAGGGAAAAAAATAAAAATAAAAAGGGCAATCATCATTAAATGTGTGAGTGGATACTCACTGGTTGAGGAAGGCGAACAGGTAGCGCATCACCACCAGTGTGGCTCTGGGGACGCCCAGCAGGATTTTACGAATGCACTGCGCTCTCTCATAGAGGTTTTCCATGCCTGTGGTAAAGAACGCGCATGATAAAAATCGGTACGAGTCCCCGAGACATCGCGGGGTGTCGGTAACATAAGCGGCACGTCCTGGAAGACACCAGCCGGTGGCAACACAAAAAAAAAAAAAGAAAAAACCAACAGAAGGAGAAGCTCTATCTCTGCTGTAGATGAGATGAGTTTCATAAAGATAATGAGGCGGCAAAGTGAAACAAAGACGGAGGAATTGAGATGGAAAGCGAGTGTGCGTGGGCTGAGGATGGACAGATTCCGCTTGTGCGGATACGGCGCGGCACTCACGGATGCAGGAGATGAGGTCATTAAATCTGTCCTTGGGAAACAGAGGGTTCTCCAAACCCCTGAAGTAGAGCTTCAACACCCCAGCCACAGAGTTGATGTCATGGTTGTTCTCCTCATCAATCAGCGGGTCGTTACCTGTTCAGGAGAGACAAAAAAAGACCCCGTAACATTACCACCTTATCGGTCATGTGACGCTGCAGTGACCTATGAGTTGACCACTCACCTCTTTCAAAAGAGTTCTTGATGTCATTGACCTCAAGTTGGGATCCCGATACCCGGAATATGCCTTGATGCTGAAGGCCTGTGGGAAACGGCAAAGAATTCCCAAGAAATTAGAATCGGGGATGGGCATAGTGGGAAAAAAGTGGTGGGAACTCACAATTGTGATGGAACTATTGGTCGATATGGAATAATACTTAGAATGTTAGTACCACCAAAAGGTTAGGGTTAGGGTTAGGGATGAGATGACAACCAACATGAAACATCAATGGTTGGAACATGTGTGTTAAACTGTGAGCTTAGAGATTTAGTTTGGAATATATATATATTTTTTAACGAGAAGAAAATGGAGTACGGATCAGTTCCGCGAGGTGAACCCAACACATATTTACAGTACGTCAGTAAATCTCTTTCCTCCCTTATCAGCGCTCAGAATAATGAGCAGTAGGAGCAGTAGCTTCTCAGTCACAGCAAAGCTGCCCATCAGCAGCTCCGTTTAAACCGATACTCTGGTTATACGAGCCGCTTTGCTCACATTTGCTTAATGCAGTTTTTGGTGTTTGCATGGTGTCACCACAAAATAAACACATTTGGGAAATACTTTTCATAGAAAAAAAGGGGAATATCATACAGGAAATTTACAGAAATGTATTCAAAAGCCTCCTGCTACACAATTCACAATATCACACCATTAGTCTAGATATAAAATCTACTCTTAAAACAGTCGCTTTTCTCACCAAGGGGCTGGCAGATAAACAGCATTACGCACAATTGATCTCAGAAGATAAACACATATTTATAGACAGTTACAGAGACAGTTGTAAAGCCCTGTGTGAGAGGTGAAACTCACCGTGTAGGTTGATGTAACGGATGCAGCTCTCCACAAGCAAGGGTATGGCTTTGGTTGAATCCTACAAACAAAGATGATGTTTCATTCACGGACATTCATTTAATTTTACTTATGACACACTGACAACCAAATGATTCATTAATCACATGGTGCTTGTCTAATCTTAACCATGTTCTGTTTCTCAGCACAAAATAAATTCAGCACAAAATGAAAAAAGTAATATTTTATTAAACTTTTTTTTTAAAGATGTTAGTGTAAAGGGACAGATTTGATTGAGATAAAACTGGAAATGCAGGGAAAGAATGCGGCATGCAGCAAAGGTCTGCAGAAACACCAGTGAAAAAAAGAGGAATGTGGCTTAAATTCCTTTTTGTCAAATTCTACAAACTAATGTCATTTATTTTCAATTAAATCTTGTATGATATAGATCCCTTACCAATACTATACTTGACTCATATTAACCTTTCTTTAGTATTTTCTGGTCATATTAACTGACCATTACTGAACATATTTGTTGGGATAGGAATTATTTCTAACCCAACTTGTGGCTACATGTTCTTAAGCCACTAGTTTAAGGAGCTGGTAAAAATTAAGCTATAGTTAGCCTATAAGCACCCATTAGCTTTTTAAAACTGCACTTTGCCCCATAAAAAATGATGACACCTAAAATATCTCCTTGGATGTTTCATGACCAATATGAACATCCAGTAATTCCATGCTGTGCTCTTGACAGCCCTTAGATTAATACTGCAGCCTCCGTTAGGTAAACTCCAACCCCCAGAAGTCACTGTCCAACATGTTTTAGATGTTTCTCTGGATGGTCTCATTTAGAACTTGAGGACATGCTGTTGGTCAGATTAATTCAATTTCAATCGAGTGTGTTGGCGCGTGGATACATCCAGGTAAAACCCTTTAAATAAAGTACTTAGAAAAGTGAGGACATAAGAGACACATAACCCCAATAACAGTGTTTTAATAACAGAAATTGCACCTTTAACCACAACCACATCCCCGCCCCCCCCGCAGCCTGACTGAGGTTAAACTCTACCTGATGCTTGCTATGGGAGTTCTTCCGCCCACGACTGTTATGAGCAGAAAAAGGAAGAAGAGACAGAAAAAAAACAGGTGTCTCAGATTCAAAGAGATAAAACTGAAGTGAAGAGAAAAGCAGTAGGGTGGATTTATGAAGGTAAAGAGGAAAAGCGGTCCTCAGCATAGGAGAAGGCCCTACCTGGTTGTCAGCAGCTCAGATTTATATCCTGCGGGATTAGAAGGAAACAGATTGGAATTTCTGAACCTACTGAAAGAAGCTGTACATGTGCACCATAACATATGAGTATCTTGTCAATCTTACCTTCTGCTAAAGCTTTTTTTAACGTGTCATGTTTGGCTTGGAGTTTGGAAATGAGATTGCTTCCCTCCAGGTACTCGCGGAATTTCTGAGAATGAAAAAATAGACTGTAAAAATGACTATATTCAATCAGATATATTAAATAAACCAGATGAAAAACAAAATGAAAGCTATAGCTGCATTGTGCGGTGAGTTCAAGTCACAGTGATAATGAATGATACTTCACATTAGCACCTGTGAGAGAACATTTGGTACATAGAGGTGCAAACTTATTCCTCAGTGTTAGGCAGAATAATCTGCATCAGAACAGGTACAGTATAATGAAGGATTATCTGTTTAAATGAGTTTCAAATAAAGAATTTATAGAGATATATATATATAGAAATATTTTAGTTTTCAATTAATAAAGTGCTACTAAGTTTAATTCAAGATCAGAAAAGATTACAACATTACAGTCATTAAGCATCAGTAAGTGACTTTACAGGAGGTCGATGGTTCCATTTGTGATTTCCCAGAAAGTTGTAAATGAATTTCCTGGAAAGCCTGCCAGAGATCTGTCCTAGTTGTAACTCATTTAAAAGAAAGGTAAATTGTAAAAAATCTCACATTTTTCAATTCTTTTTTCTGTTATTTGCTAATAACATATGTCTTCAACAACAGAGATATATTTACAGTCGTGAACTGGTTTGTATTATACTGTTTTCTGAGGGAGAATCAGCCCTATTTTTGTAATTCACACTTGTTCATCACAAGCATTCTCTTGTTCCCACCTGTCTCACGCATGCTAACAATACCCTATCATGGGATAAACACCCAAAATCAAGGCCCTGCCCGGGGAGGCTGCTATGTCTTGCACCACTGATAACCTTAGTGGATAATTTCTGAGGCTTTGACACCGGTGTGAACACGGTGTCCTGTCGGTTTTTTCTCACATTGAAGTAGAAGAGTTCCGTCTCCTGCTGGTTAGCCCGTCTCTTGGCCAGGCTGGGTTTGTTCAGGTAGCCGTCGGAAACGCTGGACTTCACGGACTCCGAGGACGGGCTGTGCGTGAAGCTCTGAGACACGTCGCAGTCGTCCAGCACCGTCATGTCCTGCAGGGTGGTCAGAGTCGCGCCCCAGGTCTTCTTCACCTAAAGGGAAAAGAGGATTGATCATATGCATAATCTCCTCTCTGACTCAATCAAATTTGAAATGTTTTAGGCGGCGTGCGCAGGTCCACGCCCCCTTCATTTGCAAACCGAGCTCGTATTTACAGCAGGGATAATGGCTGGAAGGCTTTCTATTTTTCTGTGATAATAGGGGTGTGTTTGTGTGCGTGCTGGAAGCTGCTGAGACATGCAGATGCAGCTCATTAATCCCGACTCCTTCAGCGTTTTTATGCCCTTCAGGCTGAGGGAACAGCTGCCCTCCGTGCCAGACAACAGCGAGGGGCACCAGCAGCCCGAGCACCCAGGCACTCTCACATGGCTTTAACTTTATTTTTAGAGGCTACATCTGCCACATTATCGCCCTATTAAAACGGTATAAATTAGCATAACTCGGAGAAAAAATTGGAACCGCCAGAAAAAACAAGGCTTTAATGTGTCAGTTGTGTAAGGAAGTTTTGTGTTCTTTAGTGGACTCTGCTTTGGATTAGTGGCCCAATGAGTGAGGGATAAAGGGCACAGTTTGTTCACATAAGAAGGTTTTCCAGAGGATAAAGCCAGAGTTATGGCAGCCCACCTCCATTTTATTACATTTGTGACAGAGAGGGTGTCTGACCTCCTCGTTCTCGATCTTCAGGGAGGACAGGCGGGTCTGGAGCTGCGTGAGTCGGAGGGTGAGCTCGGCCTGGACCTGCGGCTGGGACGCAATCTGGGTCACCTGACAGTGAGCCAAACAGAAGCAAAACAATCAGGAAAATCCGCTCGACTTTTCATTCACTACTCAAATTACATCGAAATTTGCAGAAACATCTCCTACAAATTTTAAAGTTATTGGAACTTCTTCTTTTTAAAAATGTTACTGAGGACCTTCTAAAAATATTTCAGTTTTTCTAAAACCTAACCTAAACCTAAAAGTTTTTAGTGGTTTCCTATTCTAACATTTCAGTGAGTTTTTCTTTAAGTTTTTGAACTGTGACAATGACAGAAAAATAAAATTTGCCATTAATGAGGTTTTCATTTCATCAGAAGTGTTCATCATAGGACCATTTGCATCATCAATTTGATGTAATTTCATTCTTTTAATCTCACGATCAGCATCAGTGCATATATCCTCATCCTTCAAACTAAATCTTTATCAAAATCTAAATTTGTTTGTTGGATTAGTACTGACTGAGTCGCCCATGTGGGCCTGGAAGCCGAAGCGCTGCGGTGGGCAGAAGGCGGTGGGGTAGAGGCCCAGCAGGCGCTGCCGGTCGCGGGCGGGGTCCAGGTTCTCCACCGCTCCCTCCAGGACCTCCAGACCTGCCCTTCTGGAGGCTTCCAGGCTCAGTTCAGCCGACAGGTAGGTCCTCAGAGCCCGACTCAGACTGGAGTGGTACCCTAAGTCACAGCACTACGGAACACGAGGAGGAACAGGAGTTTTAACTTCTGGACATGTCTAGGGGCAGCTTTCAGCTCATCAATTTAATTGTTTGTGTTGTTTCTAACTGACTTTTGCATTAGGAGATGTTATTAAATTCTTTTCCCACTATTTTAAAATATACAAGATAAATACACAGAGTTCTTAATCTCCAACAGTTGCTGCAACTGTGAAATAAAAAGAATTAATACATATTGTGTTTCTGATATCTTGAATCTCTCCTCTCACTTTGTGTGTGAACCTGTATGTGCGTACATAGGAAGTCATGCAAAAAGAACTGGCATTTTACAAAAGCACAAAGGGATATACTCACGTCTATGATATCTGGCAGGTCATGGATGTAATATTTAAACACGGATGCATTGGTGGCCTCCAGAGTCAGTAGATACTCATTTCTGGCTTTCAGAGTCTTCAGTTTGTTCTCAGAGTATTTCGCCTTCCTCTGATTAAGAGTGAAAAATTACAGAAAAAAGATGAAAATCTGAATTTTTAAAGCAAAAGTTCAGTTATGTGTGCTTATCTGTTTGTCCAGTGGGTTCATCCAAATAATCAGTCATGAATAATTTACAAAAGGTAACTGCTTCTTTAAGCCTGGATCACAAATGGACAGAGCAGTCAGGACAGAACAGTCCTCCCCACCTCCACTCACCATAAGATTTATAACTAAATAATTCCACTAGGACCAATGCAAATTCCAAAAATCTGAATATTCAATATTAACTTAATGAATATAGAACACAAGCACAAGTTCTAACTTTAAACTGTGACGAATAAAAAATTGCTTGTATGAAAGGATGTGTGATGGTATCAAAACTTGCAGCAACATTCAGCAACAAACAGTGACATTTAACATTAAACTGCAAGAATAAGTACATCCTAAAGAAGCAAAAGACATAGAAGGCTGTATGTAGATAAATAAATGAACCAACTTTGCTGTACTTTGACTGTAAATCCACCAGTAAATATCTGATTATCTGCTACTTTTTCATCAGTTAGTGTATAACTGGCCTAATCCGTCTGAAAGCCTGACCTTCTCCCTCATCTTCTCCATCTTGCGAGCGGCGTTGCGTCTCTGGTGGCGTTCTTCTATCCGGAGGCCGAACACAGGCTCCACCCCTCCGCCCGTCCCGGACACGCCCTTCACGCGGCCCTCCTGGCGCTCCGCCTCGCGTAGCTTGGCTTCAGCACTGATCGTCTCCACGTGGTACATGTGGTACGTCTTCATCACCTGGGTAACGCCAGAGGAAAGCTCATGCTTCATCCAGGACCCTCCATCTTTATTAATGAAGGATATCAGGTTCCCTCAAATGGGATTTCTAGTGTCTAGACAAGCAGCCTCGAGTGCTAAAACTCTGACCTTAAGTAAACTTTGATGATTGACTGCCAATAATGAACAGATTTTTTTTTCCTTTAAAGCTCATTGCAGACTGAAAAAATCCGCAAAAGAAGCACAAGCTCATGGTGGCCCAGAAAAACATTAATAGAGATGGGCAAATTTGCATTTAAAAGGAATTCATTTTGAGCTTGTGGAATATCCTTTTTCATTGGCCCAGTTTCTGAGTTGTTACAGAAACATGCAAACTAATCGTACTGGAGGAATATTTTCCCCAAAATTTTTAAATAAAAAAAATGTTGGCTTTCACTTACGGTATAAAGCTCATTCAGAAGCTTCATCAGGTCTTCCTGGAGTTGTGTAATGATTTCTTTACTCTGAGAGACAAATAACATCAGAATTAGTCAGTAAGATGTCAGCCCTTGTGTTCACATAGAGGCGTTATCATATGCTACGTTCTGATTTAGATGAATACAGATAAATGCATTAGAAAAGGTGTTCCTCAGGGTTTGAATCTGAGACCTCAACAGTTTATTTTAAATACTAGCAAGTGTGATCAAAGCATACTAAATGCTCATTTTCACTTATGTTAATGATACAAACCAGGATCTCCATGGGCTTCAACACATTTTCAGTCATCTCCAGTTTACCTTTCGTTTCTGAATCCCAACAAAACAAAGCCACAAAAACAGGGACTTGCAGGCACTCCAAGGTCCTATTTTAGAGACCCCTGCCTTAAAGCCTTAACCTTAAATCCATTACTACTTGTCAAGACTGAGATTCCACAAGAGTATCAATACAAATATCAATGAACTCACTGGTGAAAAATGGGGGGGGGGGCGGATTAGCTACATTTTTCCAATAAAAGAAAATCTCAAATGTCCTCATAGGCAAAGTTCTTCCTCAGCCTGAGCTTATCATTAACAAGTCATAAGTCATAAAGTGTGCAAAGTTAATATAGAGACTGCCATGACTAAGAGTTAAGTGACTGGATATGATCAGGACATGTCCACTTTAGGAGTCTCATTTCCCAAGTTAAATGAAGGTTAATTCAAACAAATTGAGGCTTAATTCTTAAATGAGTTAAATTAATGAACTGTAAGAGGTAAAAAAAAAATATCTAAAGGGTTTAGCTTCACAGTAATGCATTAAGATTTGAAAATGTTTTCTCCTAAAACAGCTTCCTGCTCTGATCCAAAAAATGTTAAGGTACTATCAAGAGAAAAAGACTGATTAACAAAGCTGCTTTGAATGAAATGGGTGAGCCTTAGTACTGTACTTCAGCCTATGTATGATGGAGTTAGTTTTGTACACAGACCTCAAGGCTTTTTATTTTTCTCATTCGGCTTCTTCAAAGAGATCATTTTACTGAAATATAAAGTCGGTCCTCCCCTGAGCTCTGCAGGAGTTTAACAAATTAAACACACATGCACAATAACTCTGCCGCCTCTAAGTTTAGCTCACCGTGTTCATTATTAATCCCTCTTCCGGCTCCTCTTTTATTCATGCTAACTAAAGTGCAGCGGCTGCCAGCAGCTATAAACAGTAAGACCTCCATCACATCGGCGCGTCCACTCTGAAACCGCTCTCATGAAGGACACCGAGAAGAGACGGACGGCTCGGCGGCCGTGGAAATGCCAACAGCCACGTGGCCATGGCAACGAGCAGAAATGATCTTTTCTCAGCGGGTGCTTCGGGAGGGGGATCCATCCATCCCGGGATCCCATAGTCATTTAGCATAATGCAATATTGATGCTGCCACATAACTCTTTCTCCCAACTGCCCGGTTGTTTCATGTATGAGGCAGAGACTCGGCGGAGCAAAGCAGAGCGGGCAGCACAGCCTCGCTTGTTCCATTTAGGAATTCATTTGTTTCTGTGTGGTCAAATCCATTTATTTATCAGTGCTGCTCAGCCCGCCTGATGGATCTCTGGCGTTTCTGTGCCTTTACTTACAGTCTTTTAGCAACTACACACAAGGTAAACCTTGTTTTTTTTGTTAAGTTTGTTAAGGCCCACGATCTCATTCATTAAAAAACTATGGCTATATTGAAGTAGAAAAACACGACTCTTGAAAATCAGAAGTCAAAATGCAATTGCGTAATTACCGTAAACACATCTCAGAATCACAACTAACATTGGTAATAATCTCATAAACACGATGAATCTTTAATATGTGGATTGTTCCAATTGCTAAACATTGCCAAAACACATTGAAAAGATGTTTTTGTGGTTGCTTTTCATGAACTTTGACTAATATAATCCGTCCCAGGCTCACCCTCTTCAGCAGGCGGGCCGAGTCCTCGCTGATGTGCGTCAGGCGCGAGATGACGTTGTTCAGGTACAGGTCACTGAGGGTGGCGTGGTCCTTACTCTCTCTTCTCACCTGACAAGAGAAAGGCAGGGTTGGAAAATACATGCGATTTTTACACATTCTCTTGTAAATTGGATTTGAGGAAAGTCCCAATCGCACGAACCGACCTGGTTTAGCAACAAGTACCAGCAGTTGACCGGAGAAAGCAGGTTCTGGTCCTTTCTGGAAGAAATTGCACGTTTCTTTTTGGATTTCTGATCACACACCTTCTCACAGAGAGTTCCTTCCCGTCCCGTGAAGGGAGGAGCTCTTTGGGAGCGTGCACGTGGACCTACTTGTACTGCTGATGGTCCTTTGTGCTGCGCGTCTTGGCCATGAACCGCTCCGCCAGCTTCTCCAGGTTGCGGGAATACTCCGTTTCGATCTCGGCCTTCTTCCTGAAGAAGTCCTGCAGGTCCTGGAGCAGCTGGACCCGCATCTCGGTCTGCTGCTCCAGGCAGCGCTGCTGCTCCACCAGCTGGGTGCGCACATCTGGACACAGTCAGGAGCCCAAGACCCTGAGACCTGGACCACACATCTGCCCCTCCATGCCTCCATCCATCCATCCATCCATCTGAGAAGCTCTACATGTCATTTTTGTGCTATTATATGCTTTCCTTGGCATTTTGTCTTTACCTCGGTCATAAATCCAGGAATAATATCAGCTTTAGAGAGCTGCAGGGTTGCTGGGGCGCGGGGGACAGAAAGACATGGGCATCTATAAACATGACGGAGTACAGGGCGGTGGGCCCAACAGCAATTTTTATTTTAGCTCAGCTTTACAGGCGCTGGAATATCTATGTTGACTGCAGCCTTGCCGACCAAATTTGACCCCTGTCAGCACGTTTTCAATAAATTATCGTACAGTCTCGCACAGTTACATGAACAACATCGATCAGTTGTAGCCAAAAAAAAACATTTAATTAAGTAATATTTGCTTTGCAGAGCTGCAAACATGAGAAAATGAAGAGTAATATAGACTTTTCAAAAAAGATTATGCGAGTTATGTGCTGAACTGTGGCTCCAAAAATGCCCCCAGCATATCCTACATGAATTTACAAATTGCTTGTCAAACTATGCACTGAGTAATTTATTTTGCATACATGCACACAGCAATGAACAAAGGGAGCATTTGTGTGGATCTACATTCTGTGCCATCATTGACTTGAAAATGGCTCCCGTTTCTCTTTTTTCCAATGAGTACCCAAACCAAACATGTAGAAATCAGTCAGAAACTAAAACAAGTGCAGAATCTATTGGAAATCCTGCTTAAATAAATTAGCACCACGGCAGGAATCGGCATCCATCTCTGAACAAGGAGCGAAATACCATCCTCCTCTTTTTAGCTTTGAAATGACTGTATGCTAAAACCAGTGAATCAATATATATATAAAGAGCGAAATCCTTGGAAAAGACAAGAAAAGCCAAAGAGGTCCTGAATAATCAGCATCCAAATGTGGCCATTCCCGAGAGATCCAAACATAGAGAACACGGCACCAGTGAGATCAGTTTAATCGATTCATAAGCAGTCAACCTGCGACTGTAGCGTGCAAGAAAACAAAAAACAAAACAAAGAAGTTTCTAAATGTCACTGAGTGAAATTTCATTGTGAACCTTTCACCTACTGCTGGGTTTTGGCCCTTTGCTTCTGTCCTGGCATCTGCTACTCTGCACACACAAGCAGTTTCTGTTCCTGCTGTCAGGGGATGAAAGAAAGTTTGAAATTCTAAATCAATTTATAAAACTTACAATCTGGTCTTCTGTTCTGCTCCTATAAAATCTTAATTTAACAAGCACAGCATCACCTGATAAAAACCGCCATTCACTGAAATTTAAGACGTCTGTTCAGATTTCTGCTTTATTTTAATGACTGATGATTGCTTGGTGAAATAGGAAGCGATGGCTAATAGAACTCATCCAAATAGAGTTCTCAAAATCCTCTGATAGAAAAATGAGCACGAAATTCACAATGGAAGGAAACGCAGTGTAGAAGTGTCAACCCAGGATCAGTATCTTGGCAACAGCGCTCCTTTGTTGTCATTCGACCACCCACTTTGGAAACATGCGTCATTTTTTTCAAGGAGAGATAAGCATCAATTTTCCTCAAAAACTGCAAAAATTTCGACAGACCAAATGTGATGAAGGGGAAATCACTGCCAGTTTATGCAAGCCTAACAATACTCATGTTTCATGTTGGATATTGGTATTGATAATCAAGCGTATGTTGTTAGTTTGTACACATAGATTCAGAAATTAAAATAAAAAAGTAATCTTACTCCACATTTCCTCATATACGGATTATAGGCCCAACCTTTAAGATTTTTATTCATCTAAAAAACAAAAATTGTATTTGATTATAGATGTATGTAGCAGAATGCTGTTAAGGAACAATTTATGTATATCAAGTGTATGCTCCCACGTCCAAAGAGCACCTTGAATTACAACATTACTGAATCCAGGAAGCGTTCCAACACAAATAATTATTTGAACAGGGAAAATTGAACTGAGAATCACTAGATGAAAAAAATGAAATGAAAAAAAAAAAATCTACAATGAAGATTCGGTGCAAAAATGTATTTACACAACAGCTGCTGCATGAGCCGTTTCTGTGGTAACTGTTCAGAATGGCCGACAGCCCTCTTTAGTATGTTCAACCCAAGAATGTTAAAGATTTCCGATTTTCTAATGAAATGTTTCCATTTCCTGCTTATTCCTCCTACTGCTCTTTTCCTTGGGAATTACAGATGGAGGCTGTCTGTTTTTTTTTGTCGGAGGAGTCACCTTGGACAGCATCCTGTGGCTGCGTTAAAAACCTGCTCAGAAACACACACACACACACACACACACACACTGTGAGTGAGTTGTACAGTCAGCATGGTGAAGCCTGGCTGCACGGCTCGCTGCTCGCTGTGTTTCCGAGCTCGATCTATCTGCAGCAGCAGGGAGAGAGCGAGCACAGAACACGAAAGGAGCTCCACCTCTCTCTCACACACACACACACACACACACACACAAAGACACACATCCCAGGGGACCGTATCCACTCCACTACCTGTTGTCTTGGTAACCACACACTGTGTGTGAACCATGTGATGAGGAAGGTGAAGAGCTTGTCTCTGCCGCATCGACTTGTGCGCACACACACACACACACATATACACACACACACACACACACACACACGCGATTTGCTACAGATCTTTATGGAAAACTGCAGAGTCCATAAAACTCCTTCTATTGTTGTATGTTTATTGATTCTGGCATCAATTTGCTGTTAAATTAAAATGGCTGCCATCTCATGTTGCTCTCATAGGCTGAAAGCGTGGAGCTGCAGCAGTTTCATAAAAATGAATGTGTGCTCTGCTGCTTCGTGGCCTCATGGCTGTTGCATATTTTACCCTGGGCAGGGAGAATACTCGCTTCTGAATGGCTGACGGGCCAAACGGGATGGGTTTCTACCGAGGTGGTCGGGCCAGTTAATCACTCCTGTAATGTGGCATTAACATCAAGATTAAGTCGTACAATTTAAAGAATACTTACAAGGGGCTGAAGCCAAGTTAAATGCTTATTCTCTGTTGCAAATATCTATGGAAAAATCACACACCCTCAAACACCACTACACTATAAATTACTACATGAACACAAATATAGTCGATTCTGATTATTTCAAATAGAGCTTTCAATTGATTTCAACAATTAAATGCAGAATTTTTTGATTGTCCACAGTTGATTCACAGTTATTGGGAAAATAACTGCACTTTTAATTTATATGCCGGGGTACATAACGTTGCAGAACTCTAAAAGGAATTTTCATTACCTTAGTATTAACACCTTCATTTTGAAAGCCCAGGAACAGACGTGGAAATGTCATTTGAAAAACTTGGAATCCAGCGTTTTAATTACACAAAATGCCAAATGTTGAAAGTGAGATTTGACTGGCTCATTTTTACATTTGATGGCAACAGCATGACATGGAAAGTAGAATAGCTGGTTTGAGTTCCCAGATGTTATAAAGAGCGAGGATATTACAACAAATCCATGTCCCATTATGGGTCATAGACATGTCCCAAGATGGATCTAACTCTCTTAAGACTTCTTTAATTGAACTGTCATATCTAAAAAATACCATGTAGAATATTTACCCAAACAAATCTGTGGTGCTCATCAGCATTTCTGGTCTTCGGCTAAAGAATGTTTCAAGTAACTTCTTCACAGCCCTAAACTGTGCTTCTGGGATCTGCATTTTCTTCCTTTTAACGAATAAACAAGGAAATAAATGAGTTAAACTCGAACGTTTTACTTCCCACTGATGAAAAACCAACTGCTCGCTGCAGGCCTAAAGAGAAGCACGGCTGTGTTCTGAGACCGAGATTAAAATAAGGTTTCCTGTTGCAGAGCAGGAGGATTCCTCCACTGAGGAGGTGAGATTATATCAATGAAACTCTTCGGCTTGGATCACAGTTGAGTGAAAGTGAAAAGGGGATAACCGGCGTGCTTTAGCTTTTGATCTCTGAAACGCTTCTTCCTAGAAACCTCCTTGTGCGTCCTCGGAACACCCTGAACGACAAGACTCAGCCTCTTTGATCAGACCGGCTGCACAGTGTTGCGAAACCCAGAGTAAGCGGACTAAATAATGAGCGGAGGAATTTGTCTGGCTAAATCTGTGGACTGATTCAATCTGAAAGCTCCCCGGAGATCATTTTCCTGCTTTTCCAGGAGGCACTGAGTGTTCAGGTCACGCAACACCTAAGGTCAGAGCATGAAGCGGCAAACTGGGACCACACAAAACGGGTTTTGTGTATAATAATCAATTCATTTCAACAGAAAATGTAGTAAAACTAGAAAAAAACCCAACACACACTGTTAATCTCAGCACCAAATACCCAATCCACCTAGGAGCATATAGCACTGGCAAACCTAGGTCTTCATATAAGGGGTGGAAACCTAAAGAGACAGGCTAAATATTTAGATGTCAGACGTGAACACCACCAAAAATTGCAGTTATGAAGGTCCTTCTTTGTTAAATCATGCTGTGCAACATCTGAAACACACAAAACTACTGCAAAATGTTCTCTCACTCAGACCAAGATCATTCCACAGAGTTTTGAGGTGCTATTGGTATTCCTCTGAACGTTCAGTTAAACGCACAAGGGTTGCATGATTGTTTCTTACCAAATCAAAGAAAAAACAACAAGCTTGGTAATCAAACCTTGTCCAATCCAAAAGACAAGCCATATTTCCACCAAAAACCTTGGAAAAACAACCAGAACATCTTCAGATCTTTGTAGCCTCTAACCATTCAGATGCTGGCAGGCTGACGTGTAAAACTGAAAGGTGAGTTAGATGCATCTCTGAAGACCTCACAGAAGCACAGTTATCACACAATAATAGTTCTTATCATCACAGTAATTCTTATTAGCCAGCCCGGCATGCAGCAGTTGTGGAACACATAGCTATGGTGGATGGAAGCCCTAAGCTTAACTCACAGGAAGTTGTTTTTGC